TTCCCTATTTATAGCCAGACATGTAATTAATAAAGTTAGCAATATGCACATGCTCAAATGAAAGCAGTCAAGGTTATAAGTGAATAACTGACAAGGTCGTGAGATGTGTAGGTAATAATTTAAAAAAAATAAATTGATTGGTCCGTCCGAAAGCTAGGATAACTCGTGTAGGCGTGACAGTACTAGACACGATAAATTAATCCCTTGATGTAATTATTGCTTCGAATATTAAACAGTAGACTATTTGTCTTTGGACATCTTGTGTAATGCTTTTTATGCCTTTTTATCAAAATTCACATAGTTTACAGCTCCATACATAACTCAGATCAGTCTTTCATGACTTCAAGTTATGATACCATAACTTAGTCTAAACCATGATCTGCGTCTTTCAATTCCAACTCTTATATAACCAGCATCTCATACAATTTCACAAATCACTTGTCAAACGTTTATATTCGTTTAACTTGCCACTCTACATTCTACGGGATTAAAATGGATAACTCAAGATTCTTTTCACAAGCTTTTCTAGTATATCTAAACCTCATTTCAGTCTTCGGTTTCGTTTATGTAATTTCAGAGAACGTTGAATCTAAGTAATTAAAAGTCGTTCCACCTGTAATATCAGTATTACTTAAGAGTAATCATTTCGTTCATCACTATTATTATTATTGTGCTTATTATTTGGACACATATTGGTACAAGTAGGCACCAAATAGATATGTGCCACATAAGTCATTCGATTTGTGTGAGGGATAGGATAGTTCCCGGGTGCCCAAACCGAAGCGGATGGTTTTCTTAGGGGGCCACACTTGCAGTCTTCGACCCAAAGGTTTGATCCACAAAGCAATGGAGCAACGTAAGGAGATGCAGTCCCATGGTAGCCGGTGACCAACAATTGGTTCATACGCCATTTGTTCCTTCAGGATACTGGAGCCCATGTGCACCATTGGTTTGGAATGAGGGTTTTCCGACTCCTTTAGGTGGACTCACCGTTTCCACCGGCCTAGTTAAATCGCCGGACATTCGCTTTTCGTCCTCTCAATTTCGTAAACAACAGTAATGCTGCGAGAAGGCAGTGAGTAGGACTTCCTTGACAAAAGCAATGTACGTGGCCTTGTGAGAGCATTCCTAGAGGGAGAGCGGACTCTCGGCCGTACCAGGGCATTTGGGGGCTAGGAACAATAACGGGGCGGATTCGCATGCATATAGCATACAATTCTCTTTGAACCTAGCACACAACAATAGCATCATGCGTGTTTATCAGTAAATTATCTAGAAAACACATTCGAAGGCCAACCATTGTGAAAGCTTATTCCGACAACGGTATGATAGACAAGAGTTAGGCTTAACAGTCGAGCCTTAATTCCTTGAAAAGCAAGTAGCTTACAAGGCTAATCTCCCTCAATCGTTTGTGACATCTGATTATACTTATTTTGTGTTAAAAGTCTTTGTTTAAGCATGTTATTTTGTTGAGTAAAAAACTTATTCGTTAAGCTAGCGGTCTTTTCCTTGATCTCAGTTTATTAGGGGGTTTTGTCACTAGTCTCGTATCGTGGTTATTTATCACCTGGGATACACGTTACAACCGTATTCTACTTGTCGACTGGAGTATTGTTTATTTCACAATCTTCAAACGTTCATTACAAGTTTAAATCTCCCCCCTCCACAACAAATAATGATTTCGTAAATCACCACTACAACGTTATGCAACTTACTGTAGTCGATCTACTTCGGGTCAATTATTCCTTACGACTATCCAAACTAATGTATACAGAAAATTCTCTCGTATAAATCTAATTGTAAACTACTTACCAACATCGCAGCAATTTAGTTTGAGAAAGCTTCCCAACCAATAGTTTATTCCTAACGGAATAGGTATATCAAAAGGCATAATTTGTGAATCTATACACACCACGTTGGTTTTGCTATGACTTGACCGTTTGCCGACTAAATTAACAATTATGTGTTATTCTTTCTAGGCAGTACATTTGAAATCAAATACGGAAGACCTACGGTCGGTTTTCAATAAGGTCAGTTAACGCTGTTTATTGTACTTAATACTCTGATCATGTACTCGTTTTTTCATTAGAACAATGTTACTTTTTCGTTTTATTTAGCTGACTTTTTTCATTAATAAATGATTTTTAACATTGTACAGGATTGACATTGGTTTGACTTGTATAACACATACCCCAGCTAATCCAACTGACCCAGATTAATGGCCTCAGACGCTTTTACTACAGCTCCGTGCTTACATTACGCATTCAGTGGTTCTATTGTAGACAAACAACACTACAAGAACACTTGTAATTCTACACACGTAGTCTACAGATATTTTCTGCATTTATTAGTCATGTTTTTTAGTTACTGCTTACAATACCGTAAACCAGTTTACGGTATGTTTACCCTGCAATAAACAGGGTTTAGTGTTACTGAGTTATAGTTACAGTTTAGAGTAATCAACTATCTATATTAGTCTGAGGACTACACTGTTCCGATGCCCTGGGCAGTTTCTCAGTCAAACCCTTTAATATATTATGGTGGTCATTCTTAAAAAGTGAACCGTCACCAAGTAGTCTACACCTATCAACATGGCTCAGTTCACTTGTCAGTGACTTCATAGACTTGTGCCATGTTTTGATCTGGCCGCCCCTAGTTTTCTTCCAATCTACTCCTACATTGGATCCCCGTTAAAAATCGATTGTGCTGCTAGATTAGGAAACATCAAAGTGATAAAAAAATAATTGTGAGAAATAATATCTTTTCGTCATTTCTACCTGCGTTTCGACAGATTACAGCCCGGAGTCGATTAAGGATAAATTCTACTACCTAGAACCCGTTTCCCAACAACTACTTTGCTTATCCGGTGGTCCCAGGATATACGAGCGATGTTTCGAAAACATCTGTGATCGAATACTAGTAACCTACGAATATCCCCTACTCTTACCGACCATGTTTCACAGACATAAAGTAGGACGGAGCGAACTGCTGCGCAGTAAACCCGTCCTTTAGATGGCAGACGGGTATGTCGCTTACGCCATAAACGACGCAAGTTGGCAAAAGCTAGTCGAGCCCTCTGTATCCGTGCTGAGATTTCGTCACACACCAGACCACAAGGGATGATGAGACTTCCAAGATAAGTGAGGCGGTCGACACGCCCGACTACTTCACTCCCTATCATTAGTTCGGGTGTCGATGCAACCCAATCCTGATACATCATTTTGAATTTCGGGGGGGGGAATCGCATCCTGAACATGCTTGCATTGTTGCTTAGATTGCTCAGAAAACTCTGCATTTTGTCAGCGTCTTCACTAAATAAAATTATGTCATCGGCATATTCTAAGTCAAGTGGATCTCCCTTTTTCACGCGTACTCGAATCATTTGCCCTAGCGGTGCGAGGTGAGAAAGGGACGTGAGGAGGATTTGTCTCCAATCGACCTGCCTGGCATGGTAGAACCTACAGGAACATATGTTCCAGTCAATATAGCACTCCTGTACCAATATATATGTGTTCAAATAAATAAATAAACCCCGACCACTGCGTCAAGGTAGCAGCTATGGTCGGGCGATATTGACAGGCAAAAGGCCGGTCTACGAGAGTTAGTCATATGTTTCCTAATCACCTATATAGTGAATGATACTGACTCCTTATGTTGGTCGAGTAGAGTTAACTGAATAATATTGACTCATGTACCGATCGCTATCTGAAAAGACTAATGAGGAATCAAAGACCTTAGCTATTCGTAAGAATCACTTAGTCCTCCTGAATTATCTCCCGCCAAACAGTGGGTACTTGAGTATCTCCCTTCATGGCTAGTTGATCCAGTGTTTCCTGTCGATCTTCAGCCGCTTAACACGAAACAAAGTACACCCTGTTATCCAATCACTTCGTTTAACATCTACATCACAACTTGGTCAGTAGAACTAAATTGCCAATAGGGAATAGACAATATGATATTTGTTACTGATCGGAGTAAAACTTTCGGAGTAACTAATCGAAAACTTTACGTTAATATAATCTTCATCGTATACTGATAGCTTTACAAGTAGTGCAATTCAGGAAGCCCTAAAAGGCTGTTTCATTCTGATTTAGGACTCCTTAGTAATATTCACCGACAGTTCAACTAAAAGGAACCCATAAACTTCAGGTCTTATAACTATATTGATATAAGGGGGCCACTGAGTCGAAGTGTGGTGATGTTGAATGTAAACGGCATTTCCTGCCTCTAATATATGTTGTTCCAATTTACATAGTAACAATCTTTGTGTCATCTAAATTTATCAATACACACAAGCTCAAACTTATTGTACCTTTTCAAGTGTGCCATCACCAAACAATTAGAACTGATCAGTCCTCTAGTTGACACCATTTTGTTTTCTAATGATAGAATACAGTAAACTAAGTCAGATGAGTTACACTGAACTAAGTTGTGTGTTAAAAACTACGATATTTACCCATTTACGTTTATTATTATTCCTATCTATAGTATGCCAGTGTTAGCAAAAATGGTCAAATGTATATGACTTCGAAAGATTTCGCTGTCAAATATCTACGTTTATTCAATGAAGAAAATTACAACGTATCATCAGTTAATTGTATTGCTAGTGCTGCCGATACCACAAAAGATGGGTAATCAAGGTTATTGTGATTGTGTTTTTTTAATTTGAGCATCTATTTTCACCTCAATAATAAATATATGTGTAAGGAAAAATAAAATCACAATAAAACCATAAAAATCCAAATACATATTTATGTGTGTGAAAACACTTTTCTACACACCAGATATCTCATGCGCACTACAAAAAATTCTTACTTTCAACATAGTTAACATAATTACATGACCTGTTTAGTACACAGTTGACTGGAAATCTATGTACCTATTTATAATCAATAATTTTCATGCTTAACTATGTTCCCTTGAAATGACTCGGGCCAGACTGCCGAGAGAAACACTGGATTTACTTGAAATCCAATCACTGAGATTTTCGCAAATATAATTTTCCTCCTTAATGTGAAACCGTTCTTCCAAATTTAGATGAAATTTCTTATAAGATATTTATGTATTTGGTAGGTAGCTGCATTTGCTATGCCTGTGGAGGTGCACTTTATTGGTTCAGTTACTTAACAGTACCCAATAGATCATCAACTTGAATTCCGATCCAATTGTCGATATTTGGACAGTAAGCAGTATTATGAATTTTCAGTAGGAGTGAAGTATGATAATGTGAATGTGGAAGATATTCATATCTCCCAAGGATTCGATTATCGATATGTTTACAAGCGTTATTTTATATATTCCTACTTAAGCCCATAGATTCTGATACGTCACCGAAGCATACACCACACAAAGGAAGCAATGATTTGTGGAGTGTTTAGGTGAAACCTCGCTTACATTTACTGGAATAGAGCTATACAGATGCAACCATTCTTCACCTTCATCTATGTCTTTAGTACTGATTGGATCTCATATATTTTATTCAGAGAATTCTTACATTCCTTTCGAACCATATTCTTCATATTCGCTTTGGTTTTTGTGTTATTTTTACTCATTTGATATTCATTGTGTTAGTTTCATTTCGATATATTAATGCAGTGTCGACTTGGGTCTATGGACACTTATTTCAGGTCCTAAATTGATTATAGCCGGTTCATTCATTATCTTCTAGTAGGTCTTAAATACTGTTACCGTAGATTTTCCATCTGTCTGTTCCACTCTGTTCTTTTGTTTTATCTATCTAACTGGTTTCTGACTACTGTTAGTTACTTATCCGATTGTTCAATCTTTTTCAGTGAGGTGTGGGGACCTGGACTGAGACGAATTTGTTCTGATGTCTTCATTTCCCAAATGTCTGTCATTTGTACGTCACCATAATACTCTTGTGGTATATCACCCTATACACTTATGTTGAACATTCCACTGACTGGGTAGGAACTAACGATCTAGACAGGCGTATCACATGCCCATCAATGCACGGTGATTTAAAACTTTGACATAAAAGCTTGTTTTAAGTAATCAGTTACTTATTCATGTAACCGATAAAGAAGGTAGTTACATCTTTGTTATGGAGATTTATAAACGATTAAACGGAATTAATGTTTAATAAAAATCATAATGAGTAAATCAATTTAATTTTGACCTTTCACCCAGTCATAACAGTAATGAGTCAAATCTAGATTTATAGAATTAATGAGCAGAAGACCAATCAATAGATAAACACGGTGATACGATGTAGGCGAGTGATGGCTGCTAATGAGATCGTATTATCGACTTAATCGCCCGAATCTCTAGAAATTATTGGGAAAACCTTACCGAATAAATAGGCTTTTCATGTAATAGAATAAAATATTTATATTCAGAATGTGAACACAAAGTAAGCGCTATAAAATGTCATATGCGATTGGAGGAAATTAGTTTGTAGGCAGAGTGTATCCTATGACAGTCGACTGTTTTGAGTATTCATGAACAGCCACCTACTAATTAGTGTTGATTTTGGTTCCACACTGAGACCTGAAAAGTCTCAGATAATATAAGTGGCAGCACTAACCTTCATATAGGAATACTCTATGCTAATTTTCTGCCCAATAGTTACTGATATCTTACCCTAGTCCATAGTGTTCAGATTTTATGAGTTGACTTTTCACTGTGACTTCTAAGCTAAGTTCCTTATTAATAACCCTATATTAAGTTGATTGGTTACCAAAATATCACGAATTGAATAACTTCACCTCAAAAAACTGTCTTGTAATCTCTTATTAATAATTTCGTACAAGAGTTGTATTGGTGAGATAATTGGATTGAATATTTTCTTTTATTTTAGATTGATTTCTTTCGAAGAATTTCTTGCATTTGAAGCTCTTCTGTGCACATGCGACTCTTTATATTCGTGGACATTTGAACTGTTCAATCGAGACGGCCTCGGGGTCATATCATTTGGTAAGTGAAATTAAGTGTTCATATCTTCATCATGACAATGATATTCACATCGATTAAACAAGTTATTGACTATCTGAACGCGTTGAGCGCTTCCAGCAAAATATAGTGGATTCGAGTCCCAACATGAACATCAATACTGCGGTGCAGACATATCCAGCTGACGAGTTTCTAAATACGACGAAGCACGCGTTCTAGATTGCATTTTTAACTACATACCAATTATACTAAAACTTATGCAAAATTCCATATCAAGGCGATGCCCCAAGGATGCACATATATAGCAACAGTGACTGGTTAATTACAGTCATTGAATATCAACAAGGGGCAATTACAAACCATGACTAATATTCCTTATGATTAGTAAATTCTATCTCTGAACAAAACCGCACAAACAATAGTCCTAATTTACTCCAGTTTACTTTCACTGACAATCACAGTATATTCTATGTTCTTATATTCTAAGTTATATTTGATGACGTCTGAGATGCACAATCCCTTGGACGTAATTCTAGGTGTTGTGAAGTGCTAGAAGAAACTGATCTCAACATAACTATATTTTATTCAACAGTGTCATCTTATAAACCAACTATCTTAATGCTACGTCTAAAGAGATTACGATATCACCTAAACCTGGAGAACGGAACAAGAGTCAGGAACACTACAACAGGACAAGCTAAGCTAGTCCATTGTGTTCCCAGCCCTGATAACTATGGGGAGAAGACCAGATTCAGCCGAAGGAAATGCATATTCCACAAGCAGTCGAAAGCACGAACGAACAAGTACATAACTCATGAGTATATATACAGTACAAAAATGTCATACCATTAAGAAAATAGCAATCATACAGGATCAAGCCAAATGTAGGTGCTATCAGGGTCGACTGTAAATAATAGATTTTAAATAAATTAGAAATAGTAGACCGTATAATGGTCGTTAGTGGGTCGAATGAAAATTTATGATAAAAGATATATATATATATATATATATATATATATATATATATATATATATATATATATATATAATAGTCTAAAAATAATTCGCAGAAGTTGCCTTTCATTTATTCTTTGTTCGGATATAACAGACATGTTTTCTTCGTTTATTTCACTAGCACCATCATGTTTGTCAACTGTGTTTGGTTTTATAAACGATTCAATCAGTGACACAACTCATTATCGACTTCATTTATTTCACAGTTTGTTAAAGTGTTAATAGAGAAAGCCAGAAGACATTGGTTCCTACGCTGACTAGTTAAGCCTTTCATCATACCAACATATAAAAAAGATTATTAATGAGGATCCAATTGGCTAGTGCTTTTCCAAATCAACCATTTCATGTAATACTAAAACATTATGCCGATATAACAGGTTCTCGGGATAATCATAAACTTATATAAGATTTTCAACTCTGTTTAAAAAATTATACCAAGTCTTTGTGGTAATCTTTTCTCGTTTGTTCAGTTATTGACCATGTAAAATGGTCATATTGAAGTTTATAAGTAAAAACAAAAACAATGTAACCACCATGTTAAGCTACATGCGTCGAAGTCGTGTTGTTTTTATTGTATTTCCTGTTGATGGTTTGGAGATCAACCAAAGTCTAAAGGCTTAGTATTTGTAGTTGTGTTGTAATATGCTCGTATTAATAGAATTAACTGGCCTCTGATATGCTGAGTAAATCCAGACTATTGTGTGCTTGTACGCACTATATGTGCAGAGATTGTAGGTGAGATGTCCAAAAGGGGACGCCGTTGATTAAAATTACTTATACAATCCATTAAGGTTTGGCTCAAATATCTGAGGGATATATATACCAATTAGTTGTGTACATCTGAATTCGGTTTGCCGATATAGCTTCTTAGTCGTTCTTTGTCACTCATATACCACATTGACACTGGGTATAGGAAGCATGTAGTCAAATAGTCTCTTAGGGATGCTAGATCCCCAGAACTCACATAATAAATGCCTTAATTTTGTAATTTTACTTTGAAAATTTGAATTTTACTGCTTTCGCGCCGAAAGCGCTCTTTTCATCTTCATGTCGTATTTCCCACTTGGGAGAATCGGTAACGCTATTTGTCCATTGTGTATTTTAGTATGCTATTTTGTAACTCCTTCCAAGGACAAATTTATGCTGTATATATACGTTTGAATTGTGTCTGTTGTGATTGCTCGCTCATGCTTCTGGCTTTAGGAATATACTTTCCCGTTTGGACTTCGGTTTCTCTCTCTAGTTAGCGGGGCGGGGACGCAATAGAATAGCTAGTTATTGATCTTAGCTCACAAGTCTTTGTTCCGTTCGCAGTCTAAGTGAACTCGTAACCGCTTCAAACCTAGCATATTCTTATGACGTAACATACTCGTCTGATTAATTCCCTAGAATGTTAATAAGTAATACAGCATGTTTTGAATTTATGTGTATTTCCATTGGATAATACTTATTTTATGCTTTTGTGTTTATTTTTTACGCCTAGACAATTTTAAGAAAACACTCGATATGACATCGGTGAATAAAGATTTTACGTTTAATTTCGATTGTGATTTCATCAACCTGCATTTTTCCAAGGATAGATCACGTAAAATTCCTTATGATGAATTTACGCAAATAATTCACGTAAAATATAATTTTAAATATATATATATATATAATTCTTTAAATAATTGTGTGAGACATAGTCATTTTACCCTGACGTAATTCGGTGCTTATAAAATGTTAGTTGTTAAGTCATTTAATTTCACCTCATGTTACACTTAATACGATCCGTTGGCTTATTGAAAAAGAATTTGCGGTATCTAAGTACTAAACGATAATGACTACGGATTGTCTTACACTTATAACCCACTGAAGATTGAGCTTGAAACAAGCAAAAGACTTAAAGATAATTAATAATTGGTTTTACATGGATGATCTAGATCCTGCTACTACAGCTACATGTGAATCAAATTCTGCCGTCTATCAAAAGCACTTGTGAACAAGACTGGATATTATCCCAATTTCTATAAAAGTCTGGTAGGGGATACAGTGCTAATTATTCATCATTTTTACCAAACTCTTAATAAACACAAACAGTATATAAGTGTATAGCAAATTTATAGTATAACCTGACTGTAATTCGACAAAGACCATTCACTGAATACAACTGTTACTTATCGTCAATAGACATTTTCAAAGGTTATTTCACAGATCAGTCTAAACTAGTGAATAGCTCCAAAACAGTAAATTAACAATTATCTAAAAAACACAAGTTATTATTCAGTGGACGGTTCTCTTATTTTGTAAAACATGTGCGGTAAGCTTTTATGTAACTTGAAAAAATGAACACTTTGATTCAGCTATATTTTCGGATATATACATATATGTATTAGAAAATAATGGAAAATTCTCAATTCAACTGTCATTTGCTATTCACATTTTTATTGTTTCGTTAAATTTGTTACAAATTTTTTATCACAACGATTCTCTCTTTTGTTTTACTTTCGATATATTTGTATGTGTCTGTGTGTGCATGAATGATATAGGACTTCAATAATGAGCATGCTATCCAAGCCTTTAAACAAATGGATCAAGATAAAACTGGAACGATTACAGTTGATCAGTTTAAAAATATTATTTTGCAGTTGAAAAGTCATTTGTTGACTCCTTTGATTAAAGAAAATTTACTCACAGTAAGTAGTCATATAAGTCCATTGGATCAGTAAATTTGATTATGTTTGTTGTTATTTCTTAAATGGTCCAACTTTACTAAATGTAAGGTAAACAAAATGATCTAGCATAAATATGTACTGGGTCTAGTTGCTGCACTTATTACTAGAACGAAAATTAAACTAACGAGATCATAAAGTAATCCATTACGTTTTTGTTATGTATCTTACATCTAGATGATGTGAAAGTAAGTTGAAAGAAAACTAGAGTTGCTCAAACTAAAACGTAATATCAGTATATAAAGTCATCGACAACGGAATATACGATTTCATTCTTATCTGAAATCAATTAACTTTGTATGCATGTAGTGGCTGTGCTTCATTAACTAATCACCTTCGTAACCGTTATCATATAATCCTCAATGGTGTTTGAAATCACAAAGCAAAGAGAAGCAGCGAATACAGTTTTATTAGCAGATAACTCGGACCGCAAAGCAGAGAGGCGAATGAGTGAGTCAGCGAGTCGAAAGTGTATATAGGATTAAATGTACATGTATATATATAGGGAAATGAATGGATCATCGAATCAATTAAGCAGCTAATAATAAAGCTAGCAGAATGAATATATGCGTAGGCGGTAAGCAATATTCAAGCATACATATTTCATACAAGCACAACAATAATAAATGTACAATAAGTTGTTATGATACGGATGACTCTGTCCGTTAAATAAGTTGATAAAAGATCTTAACCGAATTAAATGTGAACTCAGTTACACGTGAGCTGCTATATGCAGACGTTTTTGTAATAATGGTACCTTGATTTAACTTAATAAAAGTCCATTTTGCATACTCAACCCACTCTTTCTAACGTACATACCGGTTCAGTTAAGGTGGTGTTGTATGGTCACTCCATCAACCCTGTAAGAATTGCATCAGATTAATAACTTGCTCAGCGACGAGCCTAAATTTCCATCATTGTTAGGTTAGCATTTGTCTTGTTAATTGATATGCCACTGATTCCTAGCTTCGATTCTGATATCTACATATCACAATTCCCCTTTATCTTCCGTTATACCCTATGGGTCGTCAAATATCACGCGACAAAATCGCCAATCAGAACACCGATTTACATGACCTTTTCCCTGTGCGAAACCAGTGATGCATTCATTAGCGCGAGCAGCCTTCAGTCAACTCTGTGTGGTAGCTTTTTGCCTAACCCGGCCCGCTCAGTCAAGAACACCGTAATCACCTTCCACTGTATGAATTGTATATTTCGGATATATGTAGTTTATATACAAGCAGGCCAGACCTCATCACAACTTAAAATGCAAAATAATCATTATACAAGATCACGCCAAAAGTGGCTGTGCTATTGGATACTGTAACTAATAAATTGGGAATAAGCTAAGGATGGTAAGTCGTATAACAGTAACCGATAGTTCAAATGAAAGCTTATAATAAAAGGAATACCAACATTATATATATATATACTATCTAATAAAAATATATGTAATGATAGTTCATAAATATATCCTAGCAGTTACCATTTATTTATTCTTCTTTCGGATGTAACATCTAACCCCAGCCACTTCCGAAGATTTATTCGATATAAACTAAAGAAAATTGATTTAACCAAGCAATTACAATTACTTTAAGGACAGTGCAGATAAAATATGTTCTCCATGGACGGGGAGATGGCAAAAAAGGATAAAAGTTCAAATTTTCAAAATGAAGTTATCAAAATAAACGGAAAGCTAATGGTTTTCTGTGCATTTAACATCTTTTACCATATTTAGTAGTCATGCAACTAAGCTTATATAAAAAGTTACCGTATGGTTTTATTTATTTAAACACATAAACATCGGTACAAGGAGGCACCAAATAGATATGCGCCACATAAGTCATTCGATTTGTGTGAGGGATAGGATAGTTCCCGGGTGCCCAAACCGAAGCGGATGGTTTTCTTAGGGGGCCACACTTGCAGTCTTCGACCCAAAGGTTTGATCCACAAGGCAGTGGAGCATCGTAAGGAGATGCAGTCCCATGGTAGCCGGTGATCAACAATTGGTTCATACGCCATTTGTTCCTTCAGGATACTGGAGCCCATGTGCACCATTGGTTTGGAATGAAGGTTTTCCGACTCCTTTAGGTGGACTCACCGTTTCCACCGGCCTAGTTAAATCGCCGGACATTCGCTTTTCGTCCTCTCAATCTCGTAAACAACAGTAATGCTGCGTGAAGGCAGTGAGTAGGACTTCCTTGACAAAAGCAATGTACGTGGCCATGTGAGAGCATTCTGAGAGAGAGAGAGAGCTGACTCTCCTCACTCAGCCGTAACCGGGCATTTAATGTTAAATTAATATTAGTTCTTTTAAATTGACTCGAGTGAGCTAATTGTTATCAGCATAAATACCCTATCGGATGGTGTTTCCTGTACAGCTGATTAACTTTTTCTCCATTTTTAATTATTTCACTCATATTGAAATTGGATAAAGAGTGACTTAAAACTCTAAGACAATAAACTTTTCATTTTTCTTATTATTTAATTACATTTGCAAATTGTATATCAAATTAGGAACTTAACACGTCCAACTTACTTTCTGGCAAATCCCCTTGATTCTACATCATGCCTACCATCAACTTCATCTAGAAGTCTTAAGTTACTGTTTGTTTTTATCATAATACTGGTTAACAATCCAAATTATTTACTAATCATTCCTTATTTATAAAATGTTTCTCAGTATAACATTCTCTCTACGCTTACTAGGTTGCCTTACAAGGTGAAATGAATGGTGGTCGTATTACCTTTGCTTATTATATGGCTTTCATTGCACTCTTGACTAATATGGAATTAGTTAAAAAAGTGTATCTAAGTCGAACTAATGGGAACGCCAAAGTAGAATTGACTAAAGGTTAGTTACCAGTAGGTAGTCGTTTCCTAGATATTAAGTATGTTGCTCTTCATAACTTGTATTTTTATGTACATTGTATAGTTAGCTGTTAATCACTGGTTGTATAAATAATAAATATCATCAGTAATTTTTAATCGTTTTCATGAAGAAATTGACAGCGTATTTTTTTGTCATGAATCATGATGTAACTGACAATATTGTTTGTTTAAAATAGTAATTCTACTATTAAAGAAAATTAATGGACTTCCAAAATCTCTCACTAATGTTTTGTTGTGTATACAGTTAAAAAATATTCTAGGAGCTCTACATGTCTAAATGTTTAAGACTAATTGAGTGTACCCAAATAGAAATATCAATTATAAATATGCATCATACTTCGAAATATCCCAATCCACGTCCGATGAATCAAGTAGACATTTTATCATTAATTTAAAGTTACTCTCAAAACGTCAAACTCAATACTGATCGATTCATATCTTTTTATATAAAAAAACGAAGTATTAGTAAGCCAACTTACATTCTCTGTGGATTTCTCAAATACTTAATCATATTCCTCTTACTTGGATAGTCATTTACTCAAAAGTTTACCATGATCAAACAGGAATAATATAACTTATGACTGTCCTCAAGAGCATGGTATTTCACCACTTACATATACTGTTGAGTTTTCAGGATTGATATTCGCACGTGACCCGAATCATGTTTGTCCAGTTGAGTAATTAAAAACTCAAAGTGAAGGTCGTATAAATAACTCAGTTAATTATTCCTACACTCTCTGTAAACATTCTTTATGGGTGTGAGTATTCGTCTTATAAGATTCACTATCTTATTCCATTGTAATAGTAGCTGAACTAAAACATAGCTCATGAACATACATTCCTGATGTTTTCAGTTTGAGGTTGTGGAGACTGCTGAATTTCATTGAAATCAAGAACCGATCAATGTTAGGCCACCATCGAAAACCTGGAAGCACTAGACGTTCGTTTCGCCCTAATATAAGCACTGCGGACGGGTCCAATACTAGGACGAAACGGCCATCTAGTGCTTACATGTTTTCAATGCTGGTCTAACATTGATCTGTTCATGATTTCAATGAGATTCCTAATGATTTGACTATCATTACGACGTCAAGAAATGCCATTCTGTATTCCTTTTAAGAACACTCTGGCTTTGTGCTGCACCTTCGCAAGTCATCATACACATAGATTTCAAAACTTCAACTTCAATACAGTCAATGTTATCACTTTAATCCTCTTCCCCGATCTGCTGACTACAGTGAAAAAATCGACTTAGTAATGGAACCGTCAGTATATCAATTAAAAATGCCTATCAGTTGTAGACCAGTTACAATAATTAGAATTCATGAACTAAGTATTTGTCACTAAATAGAAAATATAGTAAAAAACATATTGAAAGTGTTATGACCTTGACGTCTGGTTTCTCTATCACACGATTTATCTACCAATCCGAATACGACTTATACGAATCTTCACACTAGGCCAACCAATGACGTTCAACCGGTGTGGGCAGTTTAGCGTCCTTATTGGTCCTATGTCCTCCGAGCCCTTCCACTTGAGTCCAGAACACAATACCAGCTTCCGTAATATGAATCGAATCGTTTATTTCAGGCATACTTGGTTTATATATCAATCAGACAGACTGCAACGTACCATAAAATAGGAAATAATATTTGTACACAAATAAGCCCAAAAAGTGGCTGTGAATATGGGAGGCAGTAGTTAATAAACTGAACATAACTTAAGAACCGTAAATCGTACAATAATAAATTATAGGTCAAAATTGTTGGGGACGATAGATCCCCAAACTCATATTTTAAATTTTATCTTACCGATCATCTTATCGATTAAATGTTAGATATTTTTATTGGGGTCAATTGATGAACTATCGATTAAATGCGCAAATAGGTCAATTAATGAACTCATTGATTAATGTTTAAAAATTTTCTATCGATTGTAAATAATTGTATAAATACGCTTGACTTGTATGCCTTGATCTGATCTGCCTGCCTGACTTGTTATCTGCTGTTTGTCTGTAGAATACACTTTCTACACCTTACCCAGACTTCTTGATCGAGTTAGCAGAGTTGGGGACAACGGACCAGAATAGTCTATCGAGTCGCTGAATCATTGATCCTTCGTTCGTTCGAGTAAGACGCATCAGTAATAGCATTCAAGCAAATAACGAAACATAACAAATTGGCGACGGTGGTTTTTCGATTATGGACCCTACCAAACTTGAACTGTTACTTGAGCAGCAGCTAAAATTGATGCAAATGTTAATGGAGACCAAGGTTACGCCTCCCTTACAGCCAAGCACGTCTAGTTCAACCACGGCACCATCAGTAGATAACATCGCAAATAGCATAGCTGAATTTCATTACGATCCTGATTCTAATGTTACTTTTGAAATGTGGTTCAGGCGTTATGAAGATCTATTTAAATTTGATTTCGCCAATCAAGATGATGCTTGGAAAGTGCGACTGCTACTTCGTAAACTGGGTGCAAATGAGCGGGACAAGTATTGCAATCTGATCTTGCCGTTGAACCCACGTGACCGATCATTTGCAGACACAGTTCAAACATTAATCCAACATTTTGGCGATAACTCGTCACTGTTTAATACTCGTTATCGTTGCTTGAAGCTAACTATGAACGAAGATGATGATTTTCTTACGCATGTGGGCGTCGTCAACCGTGAATGCGAACGCTTCCGGTTAAAGTCCTTGACTGAAGATCAGTTTAAAGCCCTGATCCTTATTTGCAGCCTACAGCACCAAAAGTTCAGTGACTTACGAACAAGGCTACTAAGTCGTTTGGATCAAGAACCGAAACTCACCCTGAGTGATATAGCTAATGAATATCAACGTCTCATTAATCTTCAACGAGACACTTCTATGGTCCAGAGTGGTGGTTCTAGCCGATTTGAAGTACGAGCGGTGCAACAGACACCTCACAAAAACAAACACGTCCCCGCTTCATCCAGTCCATCTCACTCCAGCTCTAGACGACAGACTAAAGCAACTCCTCCTGCTCCTTGCTGGCAATGTGGTGCATGGCACTACGTTCGAAACTGCCCATTTAAACAACATCGATGCAAGAAGTGTAAGGTTATCGCTCATAAGGATGGGTTTTGTCTGAGGAAGAAGACTCCAAGTCAATCCAGAAATACCAAAAAGACCCGTCCTAGATCCCACACCAGTTCATTGAGCTTAGTATCTTCGTGTCAAAGCTCATCACCAAGTCAGAGAAAATTTATTACTGTTAACATTAATGGGCATTCATCTAAATTGCAAATAGATACAGCATCAGATGTCACTATCCTCTCTCGTAAGACTTGGATCAAAATGGGCAGCCCAAACTTGCAGCATACAACGCAAAAGCCTCGTACTGCCTGTGGTAATTACCTTCACCTGCTAGGAAAAATGGAATGTACAGTTACCTTCCGTGATTTGGCATTTGTTGGGGTATGCTACATAACCCCAGCTGATCTAAATTTCCTCGGGTTAGATTGGTTTGATCACTTAAAATTAGCTGATGTCCCGTTGAATACCATATGCAACCTGGTATCACAACCACAACTGCGACAACAACCACATGACTTCGAATCATATACGAGCACCCTAATGACGCAGTTTTCAACTATTTTCCAACCTGGATTGGGTCGCTGCTCTGTCATGAAAGCAACACTTCGATTGAAAACTGGGGCTAAGCCTGTTTTTCGCCCAAAGAGACCTGTCCCTTATGCAACATTACAAACAGTAGATGAAGAATTGAACCGCCTTCAACAACAAGGAGTTATCACTCCCGTTTCCTACTCTGCATGGGCAGCACCTATCGTGGTCATTAAGAAGGCCAACGGCACGATACGTATATGTGCTGACTTTTCAACAGGTCTCAATGCAGCTCTGGAACAACATCATTATCCCTTGCCTGTTCCCGCAGACCTATTTACCATGCTGAATGGGGGAAGATTTTTCGCTAAGCTGGATCTAGCTGATGCTTATTTGCAAGTGGAAGTAGACGAAGCATCAAGAGAGCTGTTAACTATCAATACTCATCGTGGTTTGTTCCAGTATAACCGTCTACCTTTCGGAGTCAAAACTGCACCATCTATTTTCCAACAATTAATGGATACCATCCTATCAGGTATCTCGGGAGTCACGGCTTATTTGGATGACATTTTAATTGTAGCAACGACATTAGAACAACTACGAGAACGCACGACATTGGTACCGCAACGCATCAGTGACAACGGGTTCCGGTTACGCCCAGAGAAATGTCAGTTTTATTTGCAGTCGGTAAAATACTTGGGGTTCATTTTCGATGCCGACGGCCGCAGGCCGGATCCTGAGAATATCCGAGCTATCAAACTGATGCCCACTCCCACTAATGTCTCGGCACTACGTTCCTTCCTGGGACTTGTCAGCTATTACTCAGCGTTCGTTCCATCGATGCATGATATTCGCGCTCCACTCAATAGCTTACTGCAGAAGAACAGCTCTTGGAACTGGACAAAACAGTGTGACACTGCCTTTTGTAAACTGAAGTCCATTATTAGTTCTGAATTGCTGTTGACACACTACGATCCAGCCATGCCGATCATCGTAGCTGCAGACGCTTCAGCGAATGGCCTAGGCGCTGTTATCTCCCATCAGTTTCCGGATGCGTCGGAAAAAGCCATTATGCATGCAGCCCGTACACTAACCCCAGCAGAAAAAAAATACAGCCAGATAGAAAAAGAAGCGCTTGCACTTGTGTTTGCTGTGCGCCGTTTCCACAAGTTCCTGTACGGTCGGAAATTCACGCTTCTCACAGATCACAAGCCTTTACTCGCAATATTCGGGTCGAAATCTGGCATTCCAGCTCATTCAGCAAATCGCCTTCAGAGATGGGCTTTAGCACTCTTGGGGTATGATTTCGAGATCCAGTACCGACGCACTCAACAATTCGGTCAGGCGGATGCCTTATCACGACTCATTAGTGACCAGTTGGCGGCTGAGGAAAACACGGTAATTGCATCTCTGCTAGCGGAAGACCACGCCGAATGTTATCTGACGACCGCAATACGAACTTTGCCGGTATCTGCAACGGACATACAAAATGCTTCTAAGAGCGACCCCATCATCAAGAGAACTATGAACTATGTCACCAACGGTTGGCCGACTAAGAAGTTTGATGGTGATATAAAACAGCTGTATCAGCGGCGGGATTCTCTATGCATTGTGAACGACTGCTTGATGTTCGGAGAGAGAGTGGTTGTGCCAGAATCCCTTCGTGCAAAAGTGCTGAAACAGTTCCACCTTGGTCATCCGGGGGTTAGACGAATGAAATCCATAGCCAGGAGTCATGCGTATTGGCCGCTAATGGATCAACATATAACAGAATTGGTTGGGAAATGTATGCGGTGTCAGCAAGCGGCAAAAATGAACGCCAAAGTCCCACCAGTTTCATGGCCACAACCTGATCATCCTTGGTCCAGAATACACGTCGACTTTGCAGGCCCGATTAACGGAACCATGTATCTAGTTGTAGTCGTCGCCCTTTCGAAATGGCCTGAAATCAACCCTATCATACCGCCAACGACAACTAAAACAATACAGATCCTCACAGAAATTTTCTCCCGAAATGGTATACCAGATGCTATTGTATCTGACAACGGTTCACAGTTCACCTCCAGCCAATTCCAGTTATTCTGTCAACGACTAGCCATAAAGCACTTACGCTCGCCACCATACCACCCGCAGTCGAATGGGCAAGCAGAAAGGTTTGTGGATACGTTTAAAAGAGCCTTGGCTAAGTCAAAAGGGGAGGGGACGCCAGCAGACGCGTTGCAAAATTTCTTATACGTGTATCGAACAACACCAAATGAGACGTTGCCTGAGCGAAAGTCCCCAGCAGAGATCCTAATGGGAAGAAGACTGAAGACGATCCACAGCCTGATGCATTATTATTATTATTATTATTATTATTATTATTATTATTATTATTATTATCAGCTTTATTCAATATTATATTTTTGGTACAATATAGAATTCTCAGCGTAAAGTATTTCAACAAGTTTCCGTTTCTTTCTTCTTCGTCGGTCCTGGCGATAAATATTGAGTGATCGCCAGTTAGATGTTAGCAGTTCACTAAATGAACATCTGAATAATATGCATTCTTTTGGTTGTATATTGCCAGCAACCACATTGTCTCTTATTGAGTTGTTTGTAACTTTGACAACGAAAGGTTGTACACTTTTCAGAAACGCAGCAGAATAGGTTGTGCGATTAATAAACATAATGATATATTAAAACAAACAAAAATAGATAACTTGTTGAAATATCTAGATGACAGGATCAGGTAGCCCAGATGCTCAAGCAGGCCACCGAATCCAAGTAATACAACTACACCAGTACGGACAAAGTTTGAAAAGCGATCCACGTACGAAGTGGGATGTCCGGTGTTTGCCCGTGATTACAGACCGACCCATAGTCCATGGACAGAAGCGCGAGTGGTCAGAAGAGTTGGCCGAGTCATGTACGAAGTTGAGGTAGGTAGTGACAGGTGGCAACGCCATCGGAATCAGTTACGCAAACGGTTAGCCCCAGACCGCCCATCAACAGAATCAAATATTCCTCTTGACATCCTGCTAGACACATTCAACTTACCGGCAACCCCACCAAAAGAAAAACCTCAACAACAAGCTGAAACACGTCACAGACGGTGGCCTATCCGAGAACGGCGAGCAACAGTCAGGATGTAGGTTGACCCCAGGAAAGCCCGCTATTAAAAAGGGGAGGAGTGTTGGGGACGATAGATCCCCAAACTCATATTTTAAATTTTATCTTACCGATCATCTTATCGATTAAATGTTAGATATTTTTATTGGGGTCAATTGATGAACTATCGATTAAATGCGCAAATAGGTCAATTAATGAACTCATTGATTAATGTTTAAAAATTTTCTATCGATTGTAAATAATTGTATAAATACGCTTGACTTGTATGCTTGATCTGATCTGCCTGCCTGACTTGTTATCTGCTGTTTGTCTGTAGAATACACTTTCTACACCTTACCCAGACTTCTTGATCGAGTTAGCAGAGTTGGGGACAACGGACCAGAATAGTCTATCGAGTCGCTGAATCATTGATCCTTCGTTCGTTCGAGTAAGACGCATCAGTAATAGCATTCAAGCAAATAACGAAACATAACAAAAATAAAGCTTATCATAAAAGGAATATAAATATACATAGTGTAATTGTTGGGTAGTTATACAATAAGAATATTTATAGAATATTAGTCCATGAATAGTCCTCGGAAGTTACCTGTAATTTAATCTTCACCGGATATAACAGAAAGGTGACGAACAATGTTCACAATCAATAACTTAATATAAAGGAAATTCATCTCAATAGATTTCTTTTTTCATAATTTGTATATAGATAAAGCACACCCTCAACAAGTCAAATAAACTTTGAAAATCTAATTTTCATTAACATCTTATAGATATCCTAAGTAATCACTTGCTTACGTTATATCTTTCATCTCCAAAGTTTACAAGTGTCCCAACCTCCAAAATAAAAGGAGGTTCGTTTTTATTTAATCTACTATTCGACAGTTAGTAATTTTGATTCATATAACCGTCAAGGTATTAAGTAAACTAAAATTTAAAGACTCAGATCCACAGCATATTAGCCATAATATTATATTCAGAATACCTTGGGAATCTAATCTTCATTTTACAGCGTTTTCTAATTCTGTGAACGGTTTTTCATTCTGCATACATACTTAACATAAAAATCACTAATAATCCATTTCCTGTCTCAGATTATGAAACTACAAGTTTAGTTTCTGTAAGTTTTAAATGCCTAACGAATTATACTTTCATTAGAAATATGACAAATATGAAAATACATTCGGCTTCATTGTTCAAAATAGGTATATGAGATTGCATGACTGAATTAACAATCATAGTATGTCCATGTTACCATCTAAGAAACGCTACTTTTATCTTTCTACTTATGTAGATACTTCACTGGGTTGCTGAAACTACGTTTTTGATTTGTTGTTTGGATAGGTGTACAGGTCATAAGGCTTAATGAAACGAGTTACACAAGTAAACTTTATGACTCTATCTCTTCAAAGTGATGTACACAAAAATTAAACTTGAACAGTCTCATAATAGAATAAGTTTACTACTAGGTTAATGAATATTTGTAATTCACCTTGTGAAAACGCCTTTTACATTGGACAGACGCTCAATCAAAAATATCTCATGATTTATAAAGACTCACTGTTTCATTATTGAAAAAAAAAATTGAATAATACTTCTTTGAATTAAAAATCATGTACATCAGTTTGATTGCAAATTTCATGTTACAAAAATCAGCTGATATTCCTCGTTTTGGTTAATGTTTTTTATTTCTTCAACAATGTATCATGTCCAGACAAATGCTATCGATATGATCTCACAAATATTTCAAGTGAATTATCTTATCTAAAGCTAATTATCTCCTAACCTTCAATTTTACCACTTATTAGTACCACCGTTCTCTTAATCTGTTTTCATCGTTATATAAAATAATCTTGCATAGTGTTATGCTCACTAATCCAACTGGTTACTGAACTAATTTTCTTGGTCAGTAGGGTCACTACTTCACTTCACATCTGTTGGAAGCAATTTATTTCCAGTGATGCCATAATGTCAAACATTCGATAGAGAAAATTTTTTTATGCAAGTTACCATTTTCAGCTTTTCGAATTACACGAATCAAAAACTCTAATTTAATTCTTTAAAAACTTTCCTTAATATCTAATTAATAAAAATACATTTATTATTGATATTTTTCCACTCTATAGTTATCAGTGGTGTTTTTGTTCTCATCTCAGTTGTTCGATTCTTGGGGTCCACTACAAATCAAGGTTGTTGATCATACTGCTGAGTTATTCAGTCGAAATGCATCGCAGTCATACAGTATAATTCCCTATTATTCATTTACATAAGATAATTAACTGATACCTTTTAAAAATTCCTGTTATTCGTCCGCGAGTGTTTAACAGAACTGATGAAAGTTGATCATAGAGTCATCAAGATGTAAATCACTTCTTGATAAATTAGGGTGAAATAGAATTAAATTAGTGATTTTCAATGTTCATGACAAATATTATTAGTAGTCATCGATTCTAAACAATAGTTTTTCATTAGCTTTCATTCAAATTTACGAATGTTGATAAACGACCTTCAACAACGTTTTCTAACAACAAGACCGCTTAAAACATTTTTCTTCAAAATGTTTTATTGAAATAGCCTGTTTATTTGTTCTGTTACAGCTAATTTTCAAGTAATTTCACTTAATAGATAACAGTAAATTCTCTTGTTTTCCATTTTATTCTTGATCTCCATTAATTTGTCAATTCTAGAGGAAATGTTGAATGCAGCACAAAATTTCTCTCAAATCACACCAATGGAAATGAGTATTCTATTTCAGCTCATTTCACTTCTTCGAAAAGATGGGTAAGTGAAAATACTTATTTTGTCATCTCTATAATCATTTTCTCATTAGAAATATCCGAATTCGAATCATTATAAATCCTGTCTTGACATGTTATTGTTAAATAAATAGATAAATACAAGTAGATCTCAATACTCACCCTAATCCTCATTCAAATATGTGGGGTTTACGGCGTAACATCATATTCGGAGGGAAGTATAATTCACATTAATGGTTAAGACATTCGAATTTCAGCCACTAAGCCCCAGGTTCGAGCCCCTTCCTGTTTACCTCGGTTTGGGCAACCGGGTAGTATCATTAGCCTTTAAGCTTAGTGTGGCTTATATCCTATGAAATTAGTCAATATAAATAAATAAAATCTTCATCATACAAATTCAGAATTATTCTAGTTTGTATATTATGGAACATTCCCATCCTGTAAATTAGAAGACATAATGGCAAGCAATATTTTTCTTCAATTTACTCTCTATAAGACATTAATACTTACGTGTATGAAAAATGTTAAATTGGTCAAGGCGATTCGTGAAATTAGTCAGCAAGTATCTCCCTTTGTGGGTTTACCAAGATTCAAACAAAATCAATGCATGCCTCTGTCGCACTCGGGTGATAGTGGTCGTATAATAGATAAGACAAAAGAATTCAAAGTGATTTGTTATATGACTTTCAACTTTATAGGGTTCAGTCTTGTCTTTTACACAAAGCATAGACTGGGGATTCGAACCAACAACTCTAGTGCTTGATAAAATTTATAATCTTTTTCTTTTTTGACTACAGGGAACTTTATGAACGATCTTCATAATTCTTCCCACTATTTGCTTGTTTCCCCTCATTTTTTCCGTTTATTTTCACTACTTGCATATTTATAGTGATTATTCACAAGGTATTGCATAATAATAATTATTATTTTATTATTATTGACAATGACGATTCTACGTAGTAGGTGATTTACAAACAATAGATAGGTGTTTACTTACTCTTGGGGGTGCAGCACGAAGAAAGTCTGATCCTAACGGTAATCTAAAATGTCATTTCTTCTCAGTGCCAGATTAGTCCCTGTGTTCGTTCCGAAAATTTGCTACCAGCGACACTACATTTTAACATCTAGTCAGTCACATAGATGAAAACCTCACCACTTACCCACTGGCATCACAGTATATATATTACAAGATATAGTAATTAATAGACTAAGTGTCAGTTACGTAACATTGCCGTGTAATTAACTTGTTTGCTTATCATTTACAAAAAAATTTCAGTTGACCCAATATTTTTCACATATATAAATTAAAAACAAGATTGTTCACTTGTGTATCTTATGCGGGTTTACCAAGAAATTTTTGTTTACATATAAAAACATTTTACGATTGTCATTCAGCATTGTTAGATCGCTGTCACTGAAAATATCTATCACACTGATCTGTATTAAGTTAATAAACCATTAAAATAAGAATTATTTGGCAATTATTAAACTACTTGACCAGTGATATGTTGAAAAATAAGTATGTCCTCTGTTATGAATGTAACATGCATAACATTACTTTTTAGTTCCAATCGATTCTTGACTACCTATAGCCAATACCGGAATCAACGTGATAAAACTTTAGATGGAATGTCCATATGTGCTTATTTATTCCTCCTGTTGATTGCTTTAAAAAACGGGGCATAAACTATCTGTAATTAGTATACTACAATCTAATTTTTATCGTCTTCACTCCGTTATTCAGTGTTCATCGAATTCTGTAAATAAATGCATCAAGCACGCAAACAAAGTCTATTGAATAAAATCTATTTCCCAAAACTTTTTACCACATTCACTGCATAGCAGAAATTTTTCACTTTGCAACCTTAAAAGGTCAAAAGCACAGCCTAATAAAAATACAATAGACATGCTCTATGACTAGCTAGTATCGATGAATAGCTGTATCTTCCGTTGTCGTTTTTTTCTAATTCTCAGACGCGTTACTTATCAAGATTTATGTGCTATTACCCCCGTGGAAGAAAATTCTATGTCACACCATATGCAGGCTCGACTTCAGGTATGTTCGTTGTTAGTTGTTTTATTTTGATCGTCGAGTAACCTAATCAGTATATATTTTTTTGTTCTAACGGCACACTATTTAACCTTTGCTCCAAAATTCTTTCAAATATGTAGAATGACGGTATAGATGAGTTTCCTTTTATTATAATTTTTCAAAATGCTTCTTTATTTTCTGTACACTACTACTATGTTTGCCGAAGCTTTTTTTCTACCTTATCCATGTAGCCATCGTATTATTATTTCTCCCTAAGTTATAGGTAGAAAGCCATCAGTTATTAGGCTTGGTAAGTCTTTCCCTGCATTGCACCTCGTTTCTTGTGATGTGTCATTTATAGCTGTCAGTAAACCGATTGCTGACAGAGGATGTCTTTTAAGATCAGTAGGTTAGTTCCTCTTTCTAAACTACAATAGCTTCGAGTTTTTTTGTATAGAATCCCGTCCCAATTATAATCTGTGATATTGCCAACATAAGCTAGAACTTCATTCAAAAACTTCCTTCTTTATACTGCTTTATTTCGTTTCCTCTTGAATGGACTCTGTCTATTTAAATAAACCAAACCTGAGAGTGTCACTTTCGTTTTATGTCGACAATTTGAGTTCCTTTACATTACTTAAATTAACAAAAGGCTAGATATCATCAATCTCTAAAAGAATGTGTGAATACAAACTGACTAGTAAAACCATCGGCAATAGAAATTTTGATTGTTTTACGACACTACATTCCCCCCTCTCCCGATTTATTTGACCTTTTCACGCCGCTTCACGACAGTAAATAGTGGTTTATGATTTTAAACATTCAATAGGTAACCAACTTCTTTTAATGTTATATTTCATGATAATGGTGACTCAATTCCTAAGGTGTTCAGCCTTCAACCGCTGTCTCAAGTTTGAACCTCGAGCTCTGTCCACTTCAATTTGGGTAACCGGATAGTATCACTAGCCTTCATGCTTAAGGTATTTCTCGAAATCAAGTGCACAAATTGTACCTGATAAATGAATGAATGACGAAATTATCTTATGAACGTTAATTATTATCCTTTCCTAAATTGTTACTCAAGCTAGTAGTTATAATAATTCAACTCATCACTATTGATTGTAACCTAATTCTAATGATTTGGTTATTTATGGATTTTAACACTTTAGTTGATTTATTTGTCATTTTATTCTAAATAAAATATTTTGTACTCCAACTTTCTTATGCCTAGTGTTTTACATAGATGAGTTTATGCCTAAATAACATCGTATATTTAACAATAAAGTCGTGTTGTAGAAATATATTACCATATTTCTAGTCACCGAATAAAATGTCTTATTACCTTCTATACATAACTAGGGAAATTCTGGAAATAATGTAAATGTACCTCGTGGAAGAAGTGTTTTAATGTCCATACTTGAACAATGTTATCGGTTCACTTTAGGCTCAATTGCTGGTGCATTCGGAGCTACTGCCGTCTATCCAATCGATCTTGTTAAGACAAGAATGCAAAATCAACGTGCTACTGGATCAACTGCGGGTGAACTTATGTATAAAAATAGCTGGGATTGTTTTCGTAAAGTAATTCGGTAAGCTTTTAAAGTGTATCTTTTCTTATAATTTTCATTGAAATGATCACCTCTTTAAGTTAAATCTTACTAACCAATGATTCCATTTTGAAAGTTTTACCAGTTTGAGTTGTTTCCGGGCGTACTATTTTTTAATTGCTTTGGTCACATACTTTTCGTTAACTGAATTCCTGTCATTGAGCACTTACACCTTTGTAATTAATTCGTGCATTTTATCTTATGAGGTTTATACAACAATATCACAATATTCCAATTCTAGGATATTTTTATTGTTTAAATTACAGACTGATCTTAGCTTAAACCGTCAGTGAAAACTAAGAGCCACCAGACAGCTGACTCGTCCTAGTATGAGACTTCTCAGTAGTTCACATCCTTTAGTTCTTCGTGACAAGTAATAGAGTTCGGCCATGTTGTGTGTGAGACAGTTATCCACTGTAGACAATGTAAATTAGTCGCGCAATATGGCGGATCGATCAAAGTTAGACATCCACACCACTGAATGCCTTCCTACTGATCTGGAGATTAAGTGTTTGGACGTAGCCAAGGGTCCTGGGTTCAATCTCTGATGGAGTTGCGATCGCTCACTTCTGAACAGTCTTACACTAGGACGAACCAGCTATTCAATGCTTTCTCGTTTTCCGTGGCGGTCTGTCTAAGGTCATTGTGTGATTTAAGCCGTGAAAATTCTTCACTCTCCACAAAGATTTTATACTGGTCGCAATATTTATAAATTAAAGTATGTCATATAGAAGACAACCGGTATGTTGAAACATTCGAAATCACTGACAAGTGGACTGAGCCATGTTGGTAGGTGTAGACTACCTGGTTGGGGACCGCGAGATGATAGCAACCGATGGTTAGAGACCCTGAATGACATGGCTCAAAATCGTTGGCAATGGCGCAGGTGCATACACTCTTTGTGTTCTCCCAAATTTTGATCTCCTTATTCCTCCTTGTCTTTTTTTCTCTTCCCAAATTTATTTCACTGTATTACACTCTTTAAATAACATCTCTAAACACTAATTTTCCCGATTACTGCTTATACTCTTATTACCTCTACCACTACGGGATTTGAATCGATCACTGCATCTGTGTGCTAATGTGGTGTGGCGATTCGAACTGATGTACGTACGTACGAAGTCCTACGTTGTTACTGACTGACTGACTTAAACATTCGTAGGTCACTTTTTATGACGCTGCACTTTCTACATTACTATAACTTCGAAACTCTAATCAAGTTCTAGATAGTTTTATATTCTAAATTGATTTCTCAAATCGTATTCAACAGGACTTAGTATTCGAATAACCATCGATCACAATAGCGTAAGTCTATACACTCTTTGTCTTCCCTTAAACCGCGAGATTAATTCTTTCTTCATGTATTATATCCTTATATGAAATCTTTCTGTTATATATTACTACCATTGAAGTAACTACTTCTATGAATTTGGTGTTCAGCTTGTTGTGCTAATAAGGTGTGGCAACCTAGGCCGATGCCTATATGTGCCTGGTCCTATGTTTTAGCTGACTAACTGACATCAAAACTCACTAAACATATTCACTTCAAGGTAACTAGTGTATATAATTTCTTAACCTTTTCAAAAGTAATTCAAAGTGTGTAAATGTCTACATTAATACTTTCCATTTCCCGTTAATCTGCTGTGACTTTAAATTGATTTAATAATAGTATTCATGAGTCAATTGAAGTTAGACCACTATGAAAAACCTGGAAGCACTGGATGTCCGTTTCGTTCGAGTATGGGACTCCTTAGCAGTGCGCAACCATTACACTAAAATTTACTGAAAGATATACATTTTGTTCATAGAAAAATTTTTTTGTAACTACACTTGTTCTTACAGGATGTACATATGTTTGTAAATAAAGTATTATTCTGGTGTAAATGTAAGTTTTACAAGCTGGCAAACATCTATAAATTAAAAAATAGATTAAACCACTCTTAAATGTAAAATAATTTGTCCTTTTGACAAATTTCGATAACGTAACGAAAAGAGGATTATCAGAATTATGTGATATATTTGCACAATCCGATCACACATATACTTGTTAAGACATTTTTATATGAAAATTAAAAGGTCAACTAGACATATTAAATGTTAGCCATAACAGTCAGTCAGTAGGACCAGGCACATATGTACATAAAAACAGTGTGATTACCACTCTGGATAATAAATCAGTATTACCAGGGTAGGGTAAGGGTAAGGACAAATTGTTTTCGAACCCATCTCGCGGGAGGCAGGATCGTGAATGCGCAATGCTAAGGAGTCTCATACTAAAATGAAACGGCCGTTTTCCATGGTGGTCTAGCTTCAGTTGACTCATGATTTCAAATATTGAAATTACTAAAATCTCCACAAAACCCCTTCACATAAAGATAGTTTCAGTTTCTGTATAGCCAATGCGTCAATAAACCTTAGTATACGCCCTTGAAGGGTTTTGTACAACACTGCAAAGGCTGACTTGATATCAACCTTACGACCAGTCTCAACCAAATGTTTCGCAATGGAGGAAGATATCTGTCTATCCTGTGACCATTGGAATTCGTTTGTTTCTGTAGACTGCTCTTTAATCTCTTCAATACATTTTGTTGTTGTTTTTCTCTTACTCTTACTTTTTCATTGTTCAGTTTATAAGATATCAGTCGTAAAATTAAATGTCGCATGTACATATTTTTTTTACTTTTAAATCTGTCAATAATTTCTTGAATTTGATTACATTTCTCTCATTCTTTATGTGTCTAATAAATTTGTTAGTTTAACGACTCATTTTTAATAAAAAGAATAAAATTTCAAGTATTCTTTAGCTTATAGTAAGTTGGGATTATCATTTTAATGTGTAAATAGTTAGTTTATTTTGTAATTATGAATTATTTCATTAATTTAGTTCATTCGTATTAATCTTCCAAAATTATCGATCATTGGTCTTCTGATAGCTTCGCTTGGCGATCTATCTGGTTGGTTATCAGTCGTAAATTTTTGCCTAGTAATCGGTTATTTTGATTAATGTGATGTATGAATGACACAAGTTCATATGCTTATTTATTAACTAATTAATGTCGTCAAATGTAGCGATCACTGATCGATTAGTTGCATAATTTTACTGTTAAAAAAATGCAAATCATGGTTTAACTTCATAGAAACTTTTAGCCTCGTGATTATTACAACTAACAGTGGAGAATAGTTGTAGCTCAAGATGAGAATTTTGATGATATTATGTTTTGTTGATCAAATCACTAGATGTCTAATTAATTAGCTTGATTTCCGTCCCCTAGACAGTTCAGTTTGTTCTTGGAAAAGTATAACCTTCACTATTTTTATCGATACTATTCCCTCAATATCTTGTATATCTTTTTTTCACCCTGTAATTTTTTAGATTTGAAGGATTTTTCGGTCTGTACCGAGGTTTAGGACCACAGATATTAGGTGTTGCACCAGAAAAAGCGATTAAACTTACCGTCAATGATTTAGTTCGTGATCAGTTTACAAAACCGAATGGTGATATCTCAATATATGCTGAAATATTATCTGGAAGTTGTGCAGGAGCAAGTCAAGTAATTTTTACTAATCCTTTGGAAATTGTAAAAATACGACTTCAAGTTGCTGGAGAAATCGCTGATACAAGGCGTCTATCATCCTTCTCAGTAAGATATGTATTTCAGTTAACCTTTATAAATTGTCTGGTACAATATTTATACAGGTACTCGAACCTATAAACCCTAAATTGTCTGCGACCAACTAATTGACACTATGTGATGAGTCACATTAGTCTTTTTCGTATTTTAAAGTTAAAAAATGAAAACTCAAAGAACAGAATAAAATTAATTGTAGAGTCTAGACACATGAATTCATTCATTTTAATGTCTATAAACTGCCCACAAGCATGATTTGATTTTCCGATTGTTTCCAACATTAATAATAAACGTGTTGGGTATCTGGATCACATGTACTTGTATGCATTTAAAGACTAGATTAATCTTTTCTGATTAACATTCCTATGTTTTGTATAATAGATGTTCATTGACTTCTACCATCTGGTTTTTAAAAGTAGTTCCCAGTGAGGTTGTTTAATTGGATGTTTATTTTCAATCATTTATTAATATTTAAACAAAGTTGTTATTTCGATAATGCAATGAGAAGACGAAGTTTATCAGAATTATGTGATATATTTGCGCAATACATTTCGGACAATTTGATCACATATAAAAATCTCTTAACAAGTATATGCGTGATCAGATTGTTCGAAATGTATTGTGCAAATATATCACATAGTTCTGATAAACTTCGTCTTCTCATTGGATTATCAAAATTTATCAAAAAGACTAATTGTTTTAAAGTTGTTATTGAAAATACATTTGTTTCCTTTCAAAATTGAGCAAAAATGTTTCGATTACCGCTAATTTAAATTTACTATTAATTGAAGTTTACACAGTGACTGATTTTAAAAATGTTGAAGTACGTATATACAGAATCTGTATAATTACTATGAACAATTATAGATTTTAAAAACTACCAGAAACAGTTTGATGACCACTCTCAACTTATCTGGGTTTTTTATTCTTTTTGTACTGTAACAGGTTGTCAAAGATTTAGGACTTTTCGGGCTTTACAAAGGATCACGAGCTTGTTTTTTACGTGATATCCCATTTTCAGCTATATATTTTACTTCATATAGCCATTTGAAAAAGTATTTTGCAAATGAAAATGGTTGTAATTCATCAACAAGCTTATTACTGGCTGCAACAATTTCTGGAGTCCCTGCAGCATTTTTAGCCACACCAGCAGATGTAATCAAGACAAGATTACAGGTACTAATTATGTACTTCACCCACCTTTTGATCACGTTTGTTACCTACTGAGTTGCTTATTATATGTAATCATTGATTATTCAGTTATTATGAATTATATTGTGAAATGTATTCAATTCATATCCACTGTATTGATTTGACTGAGATATTGTTAAATTGACATTCTGACCTAATCACATGTAACCATTTGATTTCTCTGACAATTTTCATGTTAGTGTACATCAAAATTAAAGTTAACAAACTATATAAAAGAAAACAAGTTGATTTCAAGCACTAACAGTCTCGTCCCTATTGCTTCTAAATATTTAGTCCTTCAAATGATATTAATGAGAAGTATAATTTAACATACAAAAAAGGAACGAACAAGCAACAAATTAAATTAAAAGGTATAAACCGAACCTATGTTTATTACTTAACTTAATGAAGTGAAAGTTTTTAATCTCTAAAACGTTATACTCTTAGTTCTTTTCAAGAACTGGGATCTCATTCTTATCAATAAACTGGCTAAATTGTTTTAAAAAGTAAATTGAACTGAATTTGCTTTTATTTAACTTAAAAATAGCACTCGTAAGATAAATTAAAAACCAGCACCGTCTTATTATACCAGATTGTGGGAAACACGTGCAGAATCAAACCCAAGTGGAGCATGGTCAGTGTTGTTCAGATCCTCAATACATAACTACTGCATTATTAGACATTAGATCTACCTTCGAATCGTTATTCAGAAATATGTTTCTTGTCTTTTCGGGGAAACTATTCATAGGAAAGATCTGCACAAATGTAAAGGAGTGTGATCATCAGTTGCTTTCTGAAAACAGCTTCGGAGTGAGTACACATGGATAGTATAGATCTGTTAACGTGAAGCGATAATGTTCGACTGTGGCCAGGTTAAATTGTATTGCATTTCCATCCAATCACTTAAATATTGTCAAAACCCCGTGTAATCACTTGGTGATTAGCACTTATAAGTGTAGCATATGTTTTACATGGTCGAAGTGTGAAATATTTTTAGGTGGTTAGCAGGTCTATATGCCTTCTTTCACTCTTAGTAATCAATCTTTTGGATTAGTCACCAAAAAGACCCTATATTTAAACAGTTGCTCTTACATTAGTATAATAAACAATACCACTCTTGGCACTGTTTAAATGGACGTCTGTCAATCTAGTCTAATTTTGGCACCGTTTAAATATGAAATGTCAGTTGTACAGAAAAAAAATTTGAAATAAAATTCTGGTAGGAAGATCTTAGAAAAACTAACAAATCGTCATGGTTTTAAGTTGTAATATACGATTAAATTCTATCATTATAACTATAATTCACTATATTTTATTAGGTTGTAGCGCGTACAGGTCAAACAACATATACAGGAGTAATTGATGCGGCTAGAAAAATTTGGCGTGAAGAAGGTGGTCGGGCATTCTGGAAAGGATCTGGTGCTCGCGTATTTCGATCTAGTCCACAGTTTGGAGTGACACTTTTATCATATGAAACACTTCAAAGATATCTCAACTTTGATTTTGGTGGAAGGTACTTTTCACATTTCATCGGCCTTTTCTCTTTTTGTATATATTTCTTGTCCATTTTTCTCTCGTCTTTGATTTCTCTTAATCGTAAACTTTTCTATACATTTGTGGTATATTTCAGAATTAATAACTTAACCCACATGTGACGTAGTGTAATATACTTCTTTGATTAAGTTACATCCATAAATAATAGTTTAAGGAACTTTGACCTCGCTGAGAATTATCGAAGATTTTTTTTATGATCTCTCTATGACGGTTATGGTCATGAGTCACTGATATTCCAAAAAAATTTTTATAATAGTCGGTGTTGTTAATAATTTCTATGATGTATTTATGCCAACGAGTCTTAGTAGTAACCAATACGTATTTTGCTGCTAGAATTTTATTGGTCAAGTTACATTGTAATCTTTAGTATAAGTGACTCGACATCTCTTACGTAATAATTTAACGTTATTTGGTTAGATGTGGTAATAGGTTAGAAGGTTGAGATCTTGATTGGCACGATTTATGTGATTTATATGATAACCATATATTATTTTTTAATTAGTTATTCAATCTATTATTATTTTTTCTTATTGATGATTTTACCATAAACCTAAAATTTACTCATCATTCGAAAATTAATCTGTTTTTTTAGAGAACTCTCTGGTAAACCAATTAATTGTCATACTTCAGTATTTCCAACTAATCCTGATCATATTGGCGGTTATCAATATGCAACAACCACATTTTGTGGTATTGAATCACGTTTAGGATTATGCTTTCCAAAATATGCATTGAATTAAAATGATTTGTTTTGTTAATTTGTGCGCCTTCATAATTCAATCTCGGTTCGAAATTCTTATATTTTTTTCTATTGAATTCCTTTTTTTTATTTTTATCTAATGTGACAATAATGATGGGTCCTTTTTATAAACTGTATTTTATTACAACTCTCAGGTGAACTAGGTTTTGCATAGAAAGCATATTCTGTAAAGGTATTAGATTGGTTATAATAAGCAAACTATCCATATTCATATACATATACACAACGTTTAACGTAATATTTGTCTAACATTTCCTCTGTTCATAAATGTTGTAATGAATATCAAAAAATATAGGATGTATTCACATTTGTTCGTCTTGTTCTCTTTCTATCCTTAACTTGCTTTTTTTTTCCTGTATTCACTATGGACATCATAAGACTGCAATTGAAAAGTTCGTTTTGTCTATGTTATTTTTTTTCTTTTTTGTCATATCTATGAATATAGTATTCTGTTATTTTGCATTCTCTAGCATTATGGTGTTTATGGTTCTTTTTTCTTTTCTGTTTTATTACATAAATCTCTCTTCTGATCCAAAGTTTAACAGTATATTTCCAACGGTCATTTCGCTAATTTATAGTGGTATTTTATTCCATCTCATTGTATTAATATATCTTTTAATTGTACAATCGACAGTATATTAATATTTCTGTTACCTCTCCTGGATTATTACTGATACTGTTACATCATCCAATATTTTTTAGGGGTAATGACATCTAAAATAACTTAAGATTATTGTTTTCAAATTTCTCACAATTTTATTTTATATTAATTATGAACAAGTATTTCTCAACAGATGTAATGACTACAATTGTACGTATTATTTCCTTACTGTTGTACTTAATTTTTTCTGCATAAAATGGTTAAATAATGGTGTGACGTGTTTTCATTTGGATTTTTTTAAATTCTTTCTACCACAGTTATCTAAACTGTTGTACTTTAAGCCTTTGCGTCACATGCTCGTATTATGCCCATACGCTTATCTGAATGTTTACAAGGGGGAGTACCATGCAACCACAACATCTTCAACGTAAATTGAAATTATTAGTAACATGAACGCTTAAATAATCTTGTAAAATAAGCACCTACTCTTAACTAGTTATGCAACTATCTACATAGTATTAATCATTACATCGGAAACTGAATTCGCAATAAACAAGTATTCTAACATTTATATCCAATTCAATTTTAAATTATCAATCATTTGATGACCTATACCAACCAGTTGAAAGATCCAACCCAACTCTAAACGTATCATTATGGTAGGGGGAATATAATCAGATTTTAATTTAGGGACGTTGTTAAATAGTAAGACATCATCCAACAACATTTTTCATTGTCTTTTTTTAAGTGTTATGCATTTAATATACTGTTCATGTAACACATTTCACTAAATTTATTGGAACAATTTTACTAATGTGGACTTCTATGAATTTAAACAGCGTCTTACCCGAATCAAAATAATCAGTTATTTTCTTTATCCATTACACTTTATCAGGCAATGAGTACACTGTATATTACTTCCTCTTATTATATGATTATAAAGTATTGAATGTGAATCTAGTATATATAATAGACGTTCCATAATAAGTAAATTATGACCGTATTCAAAGAAAATCCTAGAATAATTGATAACTAGTTTGACTACGTTTTAAATATGTGTCTATGTCAACTCTCCTCTTGATTCATAATATTTATATGTTTTACTGGGGTTTTTTGCGATATGTCATTGAAAATCATAGTCATATGAACTGATGAATTATTAGTTTGACAACCTTAATTGCTGGAACTCATCATCACCTCTTATTGTGGATTCATTGAGATTTATGTAAGTCTGTCAACACTATTTTTGGGTACATGAATATCGTATTCACTAATTGTTGCATACAAGTTAAACTAGGGTTTCATCTTCATTAGGGCTTATTAGACTTATTTACTTCCATCTATGTTTCAATTATACACTCCACGACGTGATGTTGTAGGCTATTCAACTAAAAAAACTTGTTTCTTACATTACATTTAAAACAAAAAACCACTTGTAGGAATATATATTTCATTCTTTTCTAGACGATCTTTATTTACTTCATAATCGAAATTGAGTCAATAAATTTAATTCATGTGGTAGCGACAAAGTCATTCGATATTTTAGTCCAACTTTATCAAAACTCGTTTGTTCCTAAAATCTCCATATTTTTATGGAAAAAATGTAGCATATGTCTCGATATTTCAATTAAAAGCCATTCCGTAGATATTAACCAGTTTAGAAAGGTGAATCGCTTCGTAAAGATCACTACGATTGTTTCTTCATCCCTAAATAAAACACGTATATATTTCAAATCTCTTAACAAGATTATTGTATTATATAATAAGTGGTTTATTGGGTCTCAACTCAGACTTTGAGTGATTGTGTACTATTCATGAAACTTTATTCCTCTGTGTTTCATATGTTAAACAGGTTCTTACTTTGGCCTCCCTATTTAGTACAAAACAACCATTTTGGTGTTCTCTAGTTTTCATCAGTTAACTGTTCAAGTGAATTACTCTTTTAAAAAATCTATCTTGTCAGATCTGTCATTATCTTAAGAATGATTATTATAAATACCAAAAGACAATTGTCTCTTAGAATCTATTATGACTGTTTGTCTGATTATGTCTACTCCGTTTTATAACAATTTTTCAGTAAAACATTTTATGACTAAGATCATGAACCGATTGATGTTAGACCACATTTGGAAACTTGGAAGCACTAGACGACCGTTTCTTCCTATTGTGGGACTCCTCAGCGGTTCGCATCCACGATCCCGCTTGCGGGACCCAAACCCAGGGCCTTCGGTCTCGTGCGCGAACGCTTAACCTACTGGACCACTGAGCCGGCATCCAATGGTAATAGTGTCTAACATCAACCAATCCACGAAATTGCGCTACCAACTTCCATTGTACTGAGATAGATACCTGTCTCTACCCGACAATAGGATGAAATGGTTGTCCAGTGCTTCCAGGTTTCCAACGGTGGTCTAACATCAATCGGTTCATGATCTCAATCAAAAACTTAATAATCTCCACAACCCCTATGCTAGTAAAACATTTTACTTTTAATCAACAAACTACTTGTAAGTAGCCACTACAAAAGTATATATAAAAGGATACGACATATATAATCTATTGCTGAATTAAAAACATTTAAGAAAAAATAATTTTTAAACCAGAATATAATAAAAAGTAAATTATCAAAAGAGATTTTTTGTCACAATTCTTTCATATTCAATGTTGCAAGTGATTCAATCCATAAATATTGTTTTAATACATCTATTGAAATTGTTTTATTTCCTGATATACATAAATGTATTATTTTTTCATTTTCATTTATTAAATGAAAACCATTTATTGAAAACCAAAATTCTACATCAAGTCTTGGATCTATATTCAAATTAATAAATAATTCTGGTGATTTGGATTCAATTATAATTTCATAAATATAATTAGTTAAAAATGGTGCCATTTTTTGAATTTTTAATAAATTATTCATTATATTCAATAATTTGATTGATTTAATTTGTAAAGTTTTTCCAGCATTTTTAGGCCATATTTTAATTTGTATTGGTTTATCTAATAATAATAAATTTTTATCAGATATTATAGAATGTAAATTATTTCTTATAATAATTTGAATTATTCTACCATTTCTATAATTAAAATGACATAATTTATTTAAATCATTTAAAGATTTATTTAATATATTTATTGGACATTGAATAAAATGTTTTATAGAAATATTTAAAATTTCACGATATGTTGGTATAAATGACCAAATTGTATAACAAATTAATTCAAATTCAATAGGAAATAAATTATTATTATTATTATTATTATTATTATTATTATTATTATTATTATTATTATTATTATTTGTATTTGGTATCCAATCAGCTTCAATTATTTCACTATTATGATGTATAGCTATACGTCCCCATTTTGTTAGATCATAATATTCTTTTATAGCATTATAATGTGATAATTTCCATTGACCAACTGAATCTATAGTTGACCAACTAGGTGTTGACCAAATATCATTTAATTGCCAATATATTGTACCCATTGTAATAAATTTATTAGTTGATATAATTGTAAAATTTGTTAATTTTAATCGACATTTATGCCTCATGTATAAATTGATTTGAGTACGTAAACACATGAGTTGATTTAATTGACTTACATATGCCCATCTAAAATAAATAATAATAATAATCATTTCATTATTAATTATATGCTAATTTTAACTATTAACGGTATATTTACTTAAGAGATCTCAATTAAAAACTTGTCCACAAATGCCTTGGTACGGCTGAGAGTGGGAAGAGTTCACTCTCCCTCTCGGAATGCTCTCACATGACCACGTGTACAGTGCTTTTTCAAGGAATTCCTACTCACTGCCTTCTCGCAGCATTACTGTTGTTTACGAAATTGAGAGGACGAAAAGCGAATGTCCGGCGATTTAACTAGGCCGGTGGAAACGATGAGTCCACCTAGGGGAGTTGGAAAACCCTCATTCCAAACCAATGATGCACATGGGCTCCAGTATCCTGAAGGAACAAATGATGTATGAACCAATTGTTGATCACCGGCTACCATGGGACTGCATCTCCTTACGATGCTCCACTGCCTTGTGGATCAAACCTTTGGGTCGAAGACTGCAAGTGTGGCCCCCTAGGAAAACCATCCGCTTCGGTTTGGGCACCCTGGCAGTATCACAGCCCTCACACATATCAAATGAGGTTTGTGTGGCACATATCTATTCGGTGCCTCCTTGTACCAATATCTATGTGTTAAAATAAATAAATAATCAAAAACTTAATAATCTCCACAACTTCTATACTGATAATTATCACTAGTGACTAGATTCGTGAGGGCATTCTCGTAGTTCTAGTGACCAGTGGAGCTAATCCGTGTCGGGTAGAGACAAGTAATCACCTCAGTACAATCGAAGATGGTCGCGCAATTTCGTGGATTGGTTGAGGTTAGACATTAACACCATTAGATGCCGGCTCAGTGATCCAGTAGGTTAAGCATTCGCGCGCGAAACCGAAGGGCCTGGGTTCGAATCTCGCAAGCGGGATCACGCACTGCTGAGGAGTCCCTTACTAGGACGAAACGGTCGTCCAGTGCTTCCAGGTTTTAAATGATAGTCTAACATTAATCGTTTAATGATCTCAATTAAATACTTAAGTGATTATTATCTAAACAACTGTACATAATCAAAATATTTAATTATTACTTATTCTCAACATAGATCATTTTAGTATTAATCTGACAAAACTCTTGTTTCACACTGAAAAATCTAATATGATAACCTTGATTCATAACAACTTAGATTGATTTCTGAATCGTAGATTTGATCTTTAGAAATGATCAAAAATGTGTACTACGTAGAACTGTAAAAAAAGAATATAATAAATTCTTAATTACATATTATTATCAATTAGTATTGACTTAGCTTCATTTAATACTAATAATTAACCAACCTATAGCCTTTTTTCATTCAAAGATATAAATGAAGATATTTTCAGTTAGCCCTTTTAACCAATATATATATATATATATATATATATATATATATATATACTACAAAATAGCAAAAGTAACTGTAATCAGTAATAATATGTTCTATTTTGAAGGGACATAAAAAAAATAACAGATTACCCCATTCTAGCATAAATTAGGTCAACAAATTGGATTAACTCAGCAACTAACATATTTAGTTGACTAAAGTTAACTTGTTCTCTTTAGAGCTTATTGCTCGTTAATCTTTATACTAATTGACTCGATAATCCTTACTATACAGGATTCATATAGTTATACATACACTTTTGAACAAACTGTGAAACACAAATCAATTCAATATTCATCTTACCGACTGTAATTACGAATCGGATCTTGTCTATTTGCTGGTTCCGTAATATACTCAAGCGCTAATCTGAGCATTTGATGACCTAATTGATGATGTTGTCTATGGTCCATCAGTGAACCGAATACATCCCATTGTTTTGGATTCGATATATTTGAAATTGATCTGGCCCAAGCTAATGGAGACGGAATAGATTGTATGCCGAATTCTGATATAAAACGTCCTAGTACATAATTAGATTCTGACCATAAATCACCAGAATACGTGTAATAATGTATATCACCATATAGTGGGTTCTGCAGAATAATAAAAATACCCAAATTTATCTATATGTATTCACAAATCTTCCACCAAATACAGTGGGAGATCATCGCGTAATATTGTGGATTGATTGAAGTTAAACATGAACACCTCTAGGTCCCGGCTCAGTGATCTAGAGGTTCAGTGCTTACGCGCGAGACCGAAGTTCCTGGTTCTAGGTTCGATTCTCGCGTGTGGAATCATGATTTCGCACTGCTAGTAAATCCTACACCAGGATGAAACGGCCATACATGAGTTCCTGGTTTTCAACGGTGGTCCAATACTGATCAGTTCACAATTTCAATGAAACTCAATAATCTTCACATGTCTATACTTAAAATTTTAAATACACTGACAAGTCAGTCAAGTAACGTAATTCCAAATGCCAAAATATTCCAGTTGGTGAAACCAAAGACATTGATTGTTTCAACGTTTGACGGAATCCTAGTACTGTGTTATTTAGTCTAGTTTAAGAGTCGTCAGTAGAGTTAACTATCAAAATTGTTTGTGCATATCCCGTCATCAATCCACATTATTTGAATTCTACAAAATTATAGTTACGTAAGTGTTAGACTAATCATTTTGTATTGCGTAGAATTAAACATCGATATTCATACAATGACTATCTTTCATACTAAATAGAACAGCAATGATTGCCATACTTTCGTCGTTCTAAATCGATTTCATAATCTCTTGTATTAGTCACTAGATTGTAAATAGTCTGCATAGTCCCGTTTTAGCAGTACTGACCGAATATATATATATATATATATAACAGTGATTATTACGTACCAAAAGTTGTGATACTTGTCTTATTTTTCTTAAGAAATCTCACCAATGAACAATGATAAAATAACCTTGGGTCTTTCTTACGAATCGTCAATTAATGAACTTTCAAATGAAACTTCACTGTTCTCTCTTACTTAATTTTAATCAATAAAATTATTATTATTATTGACTTCAAATAATTGATTGGTTACTAAAAGTATTGATTGTAAATCTATACAAACGAGTAAACAACAAACTGTTTATGTTAACCGACTAGACAGTGAACATCTGAAGTTAAAATCAAATATCTCACACGCTATGGTATAGTTTGAAAAGTTTTCACTAACTTATAGTTTGATCATACTATGGTGAATGCTATATTGACAGGAATAAGTAGTATGTAAAATTAATCAGAAGTGGAGTGCCCGGTAGCAGAAGGTTAAGAAGATCAAGTTGAAAAGAAAAGGAATGTAAACAGAGAGTAATCGTAATAACAATAGAAATGAAAGAACGATGAAGTTTTTAAGAGATAATTGATAGAAAATGTGCAAATGAAGTATTTAATGTATGGTTTTTATATTCTGTGAAGATATTGGTCTTCCCCGCCTGAGTGTTCATTCACTGCTATGTCATCTATCAGTTGAAATCAATTCGTGAAACAGTTTGATTACAAAGAAGTATCCAACAACTGAATGATCAGCAACTAATCAAACTACCTTAAATTCACCTTTGTAATCTATGTCTGGGAAAATACTAAGAATAAAAATTTATGACTCGTAAATCGATCTAATACTACTGTCAACTCAATTTAAGTCAGTACTCCACCATAAACATAGAGACTCGATTAAATAACATCTGATGTATTTGGAATATATATTTGTTTTCAATCCCAATTTAATTGATCTCACAGATTACGACTTGTCATTACAACTATCTTGGAAAATTTACTATAATGCACCAGATTTGAGGAGACTGATTTAGTATGAACATCTAATTCGTTATTGATATAAACTGGAGAAAGAATGAAAATGACGTTATTTTCTATAATCTCAACATCAATCAATCAAATACTTTATACCTGGTTGCAGATAAAAAGTTAGAGTAGTTTTTTCTGATAGTCCGATCCGATTAGTTTACATCTTTTTAACAGCATCGCCATACCGAACGATAAGTGACTTATTTCTCGATGAATTCACTAGAACATCTATTATCAAGATTTTATTCATCATATACAAACACCAAAAATAAATAAAATTTTGGCGAACTCTCTGTGAAAAGTACCTGCAGAGTATCCTTTCCTCCTTTTATAATATCTGTATAGTTCCAGGATATAATATACTTGGTTTTAAATCGACCCTTATTCAATTCAGACTATCAACGTTAAATAACTTGATTACTATAAAGGTACTTTACACTTCAATGAAATAAAAAAACTAGAATGGTTTAGTTAGTATATTGTATGTGAATGTAAGTTAGCACTGTAACTAATTCACAAATTTGTTTCGGATCCAGTTAAAGATGCAGAGTTTGGTGTTATATTAAATGTCAATACTAATAATATAATATTTAGAATTAAAGATTTCATAAATCTTTATCATGAGTGGTTGGGGTATGTGATTCTGGTAATACTTTTACCTAGTAATGCTTTCCAACTTCAGTCAACTAACCTTCGGAAAAACTTGAAATCGTTCATTTTTATCAAATCTGGTTATACTTACCCCTCTAAATAATTTTGAAAATGTGTCAAACTTTTTTTCGTAAAGTTGTGCCGGCTATGATGCCTAGAGTGAATTAAGCTAAAATACCATTTATACTGTTGGTACATTTGCCTGTTTTATTATAAACAGTTACGTGTATAAACCTGATATCAAGTCAAATATCGTAAACTTTATTGTAAATTGTAAATACTATTTCTTAACTAAATTCATGGTACTACCTACATCTGGGTCCGGATCCAATCCTCTGAATTTCTCTGTTAGATATCCATTACCAGGTGAAGAGATAAGACATCTTCTAGGTTTATATTTTGAAGCTTCCCAACGTCTGGCCGAACTTCGACCATTCTCTTCGTCATTGATCACATTAAATATTGACTCGACAAATCTAGATTTAAATATACTTAATAATGTTAAATCCATTGGTGGACCATACCAACCATTTGCAATAGCTTGTTTCACTTCATTATCTGTCGACCAAACTATAATAGATGGATGATAGTGTAATCGTGATATTTGCCTTCTGATTTCTTCTTCAACAGTATCATTTCTAATAGAAAAAAAGTCACATAGAAAAGAAATTTACATTTCTATTCAACCAAATAATTACCATTTTTAAAATTACATATAAACAGAGATGGATGGTGACTAGCAGTGTAATCCAGGGCGTGTTTCGTCTTATTTAGGACTCATCAGCCGGGTGTGCTTGCATCCCAAAGTTGTTGTTCACTCCACCAAACTCTGCTTAGAATCCTTGTGATTTCAGGCAATATTGAGGAAATCCGCAAAGGATACCAATATAAAACTAATCAACTTCAGTCCTAAACATCAATGGGAAGACTCAATCAATACAACCAATACAAAAATGAATTACTACCTATAAACAGTTTACAACTCGATAGTTATAAGAGTAGGTTAAATTCAAATTGATATTTTTTACAGACTTGATTGGTATAACATTTTCGTCTAAATATTCATGTAGATTAGAGTAAAGCCTGATGACGATCTAATTGAAAACAATTGTTCGCTTATATGTGTTGTTCAAATTTGTTAGAATTAAAGTTTTATACCCTGAATCTTTGATAATAATCAAATACATATATCTTCTATACCATTGAATTTACCAATGTGTACCAGTTCAATAAACTTTATCATCATATTCACCATAACATTTCTTAAGGGACTTAAACAAATTTATAAAACTTATAACTTAAGAAATCCTTTCCTGTTCATCTCAACTATTATTTAATCTTCAAAAATATTGGCTTCTATTAGCGGGAAATGACATTAGGCATCGTTTAATCTCATCAGTTTTTTTGGAAATTATCTACAGTATACATTGATTTATATTCATTAACAACCCAATTCAGCTATATTCATCTATCAATTTCACTAAATGATACTAATATCCAATAAGCTATCAATCAATATTATTTAGAAATAATTCATGACTCGATCACTTCTGATCCAATTTTCATCAGACAGTGGAAAATCAAATGATGATGAGTAAAAATTTACGGAACCATCAAAAAACTTTATTCACACAGAGAACATTATTCAGTGGTGTTCTTTTTTTAACTATATCTACCTTGAAGTGAATCAATAACAATATAAAATATCCCCCTGAATACCTTTTGACTCCCGCTAGTCATTTCAAACAATTCCAAAAGGTTCAAAAGTTTTAATAATGAGAATAATTAAAAGAAAGAAGCTTTTTATCAGAACGATAAATGAATATTAGTAACCAAAATGTAATGTCAGCTAAATTGATGTTGTTCAAAATTTACTAGATATAGAACTGGTATTAGTTAGATGACTACTGAAGACCATGGGGCATTAGATAGTTGTTTTGTCTTAGTATGGGATCCGTCCTCGGTGAACAACTACATCGAGCCTGGAACTTTCGAATCTCGTGAAGAGAGCTTAACCTCTAGACTACTGAGCCGGTATATAGCAGTATATATATCTAACTTCAATAAATTAGCAATATTACACAACTATCATCCATTATGTTTATGGAATAACTATCTCACACCCACTGTGGTTGAACTTTGTTAATCATAGTTTCTAATCAGAACTTAAAGAATCAGCTCTCTAAATTGGTTAATTGTGACCACATTATTATCAATAGGATAGAGTTTTATGAAGATTTGTGAATTTTTTAGATTGCATCACATATGGATCACGATTGGACAACCATTGAAAACCAAGAAACTAATTATTTAATAGTTAATTGCATCTTTCATTGATTTCTAAAAAAAAATTCACCTTTCTTTATCTGGGTAAGTAGCTACTGCAAACATCATATCATGCCATATCATCAAACCAAGCCTATCTGCTTCTTTGTAAAATTCATCATCTTCATAACGTCCGCCACCCCATATTCTTATTAAATTAATTCCTGATAGACTTGCTGAACGAAGAAGTCGTTTTTCTAACCAAATACGATCATTCGTTACATTATGCATTAAAATATACTGTCTACCTGGCATATATCTTGCAGGTATCCAATTAGCACCTGTTATGAATATTGGCAAACCATTAATTTTAAAATAAAATGTTCGACCTAATTCAATGTGTGATGAATCCACATAATCCTAAAATTGTACAATATAAAATGTAAACTCAGTATATTGTTTTATTTTTTGTAATTATAAATGAACTCATTCTATGCAATATCAAAAGCAAAAAAACTTTATACCGGCCTATATATAACATTCACGAATCATAGTGCTAAATTATTATATTAAAATAGCATAGGAAAGTAGAAAGTGAATGCAAACGTCAGGTAGTTACTGTGGAAATAAGAAGTGGATAAATTAGATAAACATACTTAACAAAAAAAACTCTACAACTGATTTCGTAGAAATCCATGGATCACATTAATCTCAAGGCACAAAGTAGTGAGGTTGTAGCACAAGTTTAGAGTTCACCGCTTCGTTTTAGACATGCCGATGTCTTCTGTTAGCTGTTTAATGCATGTTAACCAGGAGTTCATAGTTATTCTAAAACCTTTTAATCTAATCTTCACTTTACATGAGCGCTAACACCCAATTGTTTTCATACACTTTCATGCAACCTTACAGAGTAGTACACAGATTGTCAATTACACTAAATAAATAAATGTTTATTTAACCGATAGAGTAAAATCTGTCAATATTTCTATACTATGTAATCATTCCCTGTATGAATAATAATTTAGTAACTTAACACGAGTTAAGTAAATGTCACACCTCCAACAATGTAAATATTCTCTTAACCCTAATTTCATTCATAAAGATCGCATTTATACGCAGAACCGATCGAATACAGTCAGCACAGTTGGCCACCGTGAAAACTCTTTCTATTTCAGAGATAAGTTTGCGTAAAATTACTAATCTACTGCTACCGACCCATTTAAACATTGTTTTGGTGATTCCTTTACACGCCTTTTTATTTATATTTGGTCTTTAACTACTCATAAGTAGCCAACGGATACGAATCCAAATGCTCCCTGTCAATTAAGAACAGATTTTAATTACCTTAAATTGTATTTCATATAGTTTTAAAACTAATCTATTTGAAAAATATGGCTAGTTATTTTTTAACTATTTAATAATGCATGAGAAAATCACTTCAGTTATTATATCCAGGATTTGATAATAAGGATTACAATGTATGATAGATAGATCAACACTGATACATGAACTAAAACTATGCGTATCAACAAGAATTCGTAAATTACTTTTCTAAGATCAGATTGGTGCAAATTGATGACTTTTAATTATTATAGTATCAACAAGTTCCGATTCGAAGTCTAGTAATGATCGCTTTTTAATTTTCATTTATCTATGAAATAGTGCCTGGTAGTTTCCCACTACCAATATTTACGTATTTAAATAATTAAAGTTGCGCGGATTAAACACATAGTTTACGTAGTCGAACGTCATTCGAAAGTATAAATGGGACGAACGATAGTAGCTGAATTCTGAAATTATATGTGAGTTAATAGAACAATAGGATATAAAATACTGACCGTAGGTAATAACATTGATTAAATTATAGTGCATAGTTGTACTACTGTTTCTGACGATTCACGTGTGAATGATGATTACTTCATTCACTTTACAATTTACCCTTTCCAATTCTAATTGTTTTTAATTGTAAAAGCTGTACTCCATATGTACTATACTCCTGATTTCAAAACCCATAATTTTTCGTTTTATTAATGTATGGTTTTATTATTTCGAACTCCTGTTACGATAAAGGTATACATATACATAGTGTAATGTTTATTGAGAATAATAAAAACACTAATTTCTTTACTAACTCTACATTTGCTGGATTCTTCTTTAAAGTTGTAAACAACTGAAAGATACCCAACATAATCACAACATTGAAATATAAGTTAGGTTATGTGTACCTCAGAAGTAAACACACTTAATAGTATCCTGAAGAAGTAGAATACAGTAATAAGATTTCGTTTACATTAATATGTCATAGACATATTTTCCGTACTAATAATCTATTCGATCAATAATCGGCTTCTTGAAAAATTGAGCTGCGGTAACACCTATGAATTGGAACTGCTGCAACTCTCTTTGTGGTTACTGAAAAACTATCAAATTCTTCAAGATCTTAAAAACACTTTTGTAATGAGTATCAACTAGCATGAAAACTGCGCTTGAGATTTCTTGCTGATCCCCTTCAACCATTAAACATCGAAAAATGTTCAACACCGCTTCAAGCCACTTAGTTTATCCACTACATCGTAAACGTCATTGGTAGAGTCCTACTAATATCAAATCCTATACAAAACGTAACTGCTTACTAACTAATAATCGGTTAGTAAAATTAAAAGCAAAAGATACATTTAATTCGCAGGTATTCATCCACAAACATTCTCATTGCCCTGATGAATTATTCGCAGTATACAAATCACTCATTTAGTTCCATGAATTAGTATTATCTCTGTATAATTCGTTTTACTTCTTTCCTTAATTTTAACAGTAATATTATGATTTTATATCATAAGGCTCCGTTATTATACTCGTTTAATTTTCTATATCCTTCTGATTATTTTCTCGCGTATGAAAAATTTGTGGAGATAATTTGATCTTATAGATCACATCTCAGACTGACCTTAGTTAAGTAACCATTATGAATAATAATAGTAATAATAATAATAATAATAATAATATGCCACATTTTATTCACTTCTTTATCTACTAAGCTATCGGTACACATAAAGCTGGCTCTCAAGCTTAATCTGTGAATCGATTTTCTCTATTGACTCAATCGATTTGGCTTACAAATTATTCCACAAAGTAGTATGATGAAAAGGCAGGTCTTTCACAGTAGATATGAAAGAAATATCTATAGCTTAGTAGTAAATGGCTAGAGACTAAAAATAGTTATTATACTATTGGCTTACCATTATCTAGACTGTAGAAAGTGTTTAATTATTAGTGATTTTTTGACTAGTTGATGATGCGTAACAATCAATTAATTTTGTTCTTTTCGGATCCCATCAGTTGAAGCCGTCTACTGCTATAGCTGTATTTGCTTCTTCAAACCGACTCGCAAAATAAGAGGTTGGACATTGTCGAGCAAGACTTAAAGCACTGGGTTCGAGTCCCGTGTGAGGGATCGTAGATGCTCACTGTTGAGGAGTTTCGTACTAGAATGAAACGGCCATCAAGTACTTCTGAGTTTTCAGTAGTGGTTTAACATGGATTGGTTCATGGTCTTAATTAAAACTCGATAATCTCCACAACCCTATACTGATAAATCAACTTTGAATAATTCAGTCATCATACACAAATCGTAAATAAAAACATACCTCAATTAACTCCACTTCACGAAAACCTATTAAATATTCTTTTTTATCAACAATCTTGTTGAAACCAACTGTTAAGTAGAGTACTAATGTATAAAGATATGGTCCAGTCTCCGTACCAATAGGCCACCATAATTTAACTTTTGATTGATTACGTAACACCTCCATAGTGATCATTTCATTTTCCATTCCAAAACACTTTCTTCCAAATACATTTAATTCTTCGATATATGAATAGATACATGCTTTTGATAGACGATTGTATGACGGCACATTGACTACAATTTCTACATCAATTTCAGCACTCCATAATTTAAATTGATCATGCTGTGAATAAGCATAGAATTTAAATCTTTCACCGAATCTTAAACCTGAAGGTGAAACCACCAACTGAGGTAATGTCCATAATCCTTGAATAGGTAAAGTTAATCCCCAATCCCAACCAAATATTGATTGTGTTGTCCTAACAAGATTTACATGACATTCACCATGAAATCTAGATGGCCAACAAAATGGTGGTGGAATCGATTTTTTTCTAACTTTCATTAGTTCCGCTTTTTTCTTTGCCATTAATACAGTTGATATACATTTTATTTCTAATATATTTATTCGTTTTAAGTTTAATAAATGATTAATTTTCCATGTATATGACAAAAAACTATTCTCTGTAACTCCTAATAAATGATTATTTAAAATGATCTCACAAAATGTATCTATACCATCTATATATAATTCTATAGTATTATTGAAATTGAATTGTTCAATGATAAAAATCTTAGTAAATGTCCAATTATCATATGCTATCCATCTTAATTTTACATCATTATCATCAATAAAAGGATTATTATTATTATTATTATTATCAATTATCCATTGTGTACTATAACTATCTATACCAAATTTTGTATAAATTTGTTTTGATATAGTTTGATTAGAAATTATCCAATTCCCAATTAATGGTATCCATTTTGTTTCTATATTTTGATATGATAATACAGTTGAAATATAAATGAAATTATAAAATATTAAAAAGAAATATTGAATAAAATTAGACATCATTTATTATTATAATGATATTTGACTATTAAGATATATAAACCGATCATTGAATTATACATAATTGTTTTAATTAGGTTCATGTCATGTATAAAATATACATTTAAAATATAATTAAATTAATAATTTTAAATCGAATGTTTTAATTGATTAATTTTGTTTGTTTGTTTGTTTTTTTTTCAAATTTAATAATTTACTAGTTTAAATTAATATGATTGGTTAAAACAAGGTCATCTGATTTAGTTTATAAACAATTGATCTAGGTTGGATTAATTATTTATTGATTTATATTTAATAAAATATAGAACTTAATTATATAGATTAACTAATTTAATAGTTGAATTCATGAGTTGATTAAAACTAGATCACTATAGAAAATTATCGAATACTTCCAGGTTTTCCATGGTGATCATGAATTCAATTATTAAATTACTACAATCTCTACAAAACCCTATATCTGATTTTAACTAATTGTAAATATTTTATATAGAGTAAACGACTTTATTATTTGAAAAAAATCGAAAAATTAGTGTATCATTTTACTGAAAATCATTATGAATTCTTCAATCCACTCTGTCCTAGGCCTTCCTTTCCAGATCTGTCCAATTTTTGTTCATTCTTCTCATATTTGTCTCAATTTATCCGCGTAATGTGTTCTTTGGTCTTCCTCTTCTCCTTTGGCCTTGAGGACTCCATGTGAGGACTTGCCTTGTGATGCAGTTGGATGTGTGTCCTATCCACTTCCAGCGCTTCTTCCTGATTTCTTCCTCCACTGGAATCTGGTTTGTTTACATCTTCCAAATCTCCTCCGTTAAGTGTGATTCGATTGGGGAATGGTGTGTTGTATGGGAGAATCTTGTTTTTCCCTTTATGTATGTTGAGACATACTTCTGCTGAGGTCGCTGCTACACTGGCCGTCTTCTCCTGCATTCGCTGTTGCGTGTACGATAGAAGAGCCAGATCATCTGCAATGCATAGATCATCCAGCTGCATCCTAGCTGTCCACTGTATCCCATGCTTCCCTCAGATGTTGACGTCTTCATGACCCAGTCGATCACCAGGAGAAAGAGAAAGGGTGAGAGTAAGCAACCTTGCCTAACACCGGTCTTCACTTCGAACGACTTTGTCAACTGTCCTCCATGCACGATTTTGCAGTGTAATCCATCATATGAGTTCTGTATGATATTGACTATCTTCTGAGGCACGCCGTAGTGTCGAAGAAGTTTCCATAGTGTTGTTCTGTCTACGCTATTAAATGCCTTTTCGTAGTCAATGAAGTTGATGTAGAGTGATGAATTCCATTCACTTGATTGTTCCACAATGATCCGTAGAGTTGCGATTTGGTCTGTACACGATCTATCCTTACGGAATCCTGCCTGTTCGTCACGAAGTTGGGCGTCTACGAAGTCCTTCATCCTGTTTAACAATACCTCGTTGAAGACCTTTCCTGGTATTGGAGGAAGAGTGATGCCCGTGTAGTTATCACAGTTGCTGAGATTCCCCATCTTTGGTATTTTGATGATGTGTCCTTCTTTCCAGTCTGTTGGTACTTGTTCTTCATCCCAGATCTTATTGAAGAGAATGTGGAGTATCCTTTAAGTTACTGCTACATCTGCTTTCAGTGCCTCTGCTGGAATGTTGTCTGGTCCTGCTGCTCTGCCACTCTTGATTTGTCTGATGGCCATGTTGATCTCTTCAATTGTTGGTGGGCCAACATCGATTGGGAGGTCCGTGGGTGCTTCTTCGATGTTGGGTGGGTTCAGTGGAGCTGGTCGATTCAAGAGTTCTTTGAAGTGTCCTACCCACCTGTTCCGCTGTTTTTCGATGTTGGTGATTATCTTGCCATCCTTGCTTTTCACTGGTCGCTCCGGTTTACGGTGATTTCCAGAGAGTTTCTTTGTTGTATCATACAACTGTCTCATGTTTCCTTCTCTTTCAGCCTTTTCTGCCGTCATTACTAGATCTCCCACACACTTATGTTTGTCGGTTCTGATGCTCCTCTCCACCTGCTTGTTTACTTCTGTGCATTCAGCTTGTGCCCATACTAGAACAAAATGATCGTTTAGTGCCTCTAGGTTTTCAGTGATGGTCTAACATGGATTGATTCATGATCTCAACAACCTACAGAACCCTATACTGATAATAGTTTTTTTATTACCAAGTCGTTGAAATTGTCGGAAAGCAACTTTAATTCTAGCGAAACCCTACCTCACTGATAATAAGTATTAGAATGATCACACATTAATTTAATCTTCGATATCTAAGCAAATTAAATTCATACACATATAGGATGGGTCACTGGATTTTTTGGACGTGAATTACCTTTCTAATTATATACAACTTATTTACTTACTATCAATTAATTGATTACATTATATTCATTTATTCTCTGGTTTGTTTATCAATAATCTACCATTTTTGTGCATTCATACATTCATACATTCATGTGTTTTTGCACTGTTTTCTATGCTGGTTACTAGGACCAAACATAATTATTCGCTTAGATTTATTGCCTTGGTATATGAGTACCACTTACTTATCATCAATTCATCATCTCCTTAGTAAATTATTAAGAATACAGTTTGTTTCTTTTTTGTTTTATACAAAAACGTCTCTCCATCGATATTCATTTTAAATATATACAAAATAAAACAAAACTGTAACATTACAAAGAAGAAATGGGCAAATGAATTACAGGTAGGCATTTAAACTATTAAGCCAAAATGAAAATAGGAAAGAAAAAAAAGCAAACAACAACAACAATCTTCAACTGAACAAAATGCAAATCTCACATAAAACATACTTCGACAGGTGTTAAAAACTAACTAATCAACTAACTAAATAAATAAATAAAACCTTATTGAAACTCTTCATAAAACTGTACTACACTTAGTAGCTATGGTAATATTTATTATTATTATTATTATTATTATCGTTTCACATCTTCATTTCATAAAATTATCTCATATGTATCCATGTCCGTATGTATAAATGTGTATATATTTTATCTTTTTAACACTGACTTTATCATTTACAGAACCCATCATTTTTATTTATATTTATAGAAGAGGTGAACACTTTATGGTGAATGGATTTATATTAAGAAAAAAGCACATACATGAGATGGGTAAGCATTGGAATAGGTATATATGTATATCTTTTTGACTTGGTTGATGAATGAAATTTGAAATGTTTAGCTAATAATTCTATTATACAGTTGATTTAAACAAATTAGCACAAATGAAGATATACACATCAGGTCATTAAGTCAATGATGACTTATAGAAACCATAATTTCATACATTATACATTTAAAACATAAATGAGTCATAAATAGATGTGTTTAATCAATGTTATTATAAACATATAACTAAGGAAAATCGCAATAATGTTTTCCACATTAAACTGAATGTGTCAAACTAATTATTATTACTATCATTATTATTATTATTATTATTATTATTATTGTATATTTAATTAACAATATCAGTTGGTGATTTGTTTTATTCGATTAATCTTAATTAATTTATTATATATATATATGTATTACTACGTACAATAACTTTTTATGCAGTACACTATATATATATATATATATATATATATATATATATATATATATATATATATATACATTCTTCTTTTTGATAGATATATTTCTTCATAACTTTGTTTAACCTTGCAAATGATACATCAAAATAATGAATGAATGAACATGGTTTAGTCATACTTTGTTTGGGCAACTAATGAATCAGTACATATAAGCGTCATTCTTATTTAAAAGTTCATAACTCAGACAGTAATTACAAAGTACATAAATATATATATCCAAATTCTGTATTCGTTATAAATGAAATATAAATACATCATTTTGTATAATTTCTATGTATTACTTAGGTAATAATGTAAGGAACATTCGAATTGCAAAAGAAATAATATTCTTAATCTTTTATTTTTCTCTTTGAATTTAATTAATTCTCAGAATAAAGAAGGAACGAAATGAGCGAAGAAATTTCTTTTCTATCCTATTTTGAATTCAAAAGAGATTCGTACAACCACTTTCTCTGCCCTGGCCATCAGTATAAGATTTCCTTCAAAAGAACTATTTTTCATACTTCTTCCAGTTGTTTTTTTTTTGTTTTTTTTTAACTTTTGTAATTTTGTTTCTGTTGCTTTTGAACTTTACAACTTCTCAACATTCATCTCTTGATTCTTACATAACTACTATTCTATTGACTATCCATTAAAAAATTCTGTTCCTTCTCTTTTCATATTTTACGCAACGTAGCAACGTCTTGAGTTTCGAATAATTACTTTGATTATTAATAATCCTCTTTCTTCTAATTACTCAATGTTAACTTAAATGTTATTATGTAATTATTACGTAACGTATCCACTCGATGAGTATTATATCATTATTGTAAATTATATATATATATTAGTGTAGAGTCATGATGAAAAACTAATTGAAAAGAAATTTCTTCGCCCAATTCGTTCCTTCTTTATTTACCAAATGCCAAAATGGGGATTTTCACTATAAATTCTCAAGATAATATCAGTTTATGATAAGTATGACCTTCAAATTATGTATTGTACATCGAAACTTATCTATATTATTTAGTCAGTTGTTGAAAGTGAATATCATTCTAGTTTAATACTCATTCAATAGTAAGATTTCATTGTATTTCTTTAGATATCACTATATGAATTGAATTGAGTAAACATGAAGTCCTTCAATTGATTTCTGTACTAAAATATAAAAATAGTTAACTATGGTTGAAATCAATTCAATTCTCCAATAGAATACCGACTAATTTCATACTACTTACATTAGTTAGTATTTATTCTCAAATAATCAAGTAGTATTTATTAAATTTGTCTCAAGTTAGATTTTACTCATCGTTTGTTACCAATTAAACGTAAATATGTAAAAAAAAAGTGAAAAGTACACTCAATTCTGAATAATTCCAATCAGTCTTCGGGGTTATCTCCTTGTAACATCGAAAATGGTTAGTGGGAGCAAATATGCAACTCAGTAATTTAAATTAAATCTGATAACATTGTAAACTGCCTATATGTATTCAGGCATTGATTA